GCGCGCGCCAGCGTCGCGGGGCCTCGGTCGTCTCGGACCAAGTGGGGGCACGCGGGCATGGGGGTCGATGGGGCGCGCGTCGTTTGTCCGCCCCGCATGCAGGTTCGAGCCCGAGTCGTTGGGGGCGTACTACGATCGCGCCAGAGGCGCGCACTTGCCGCGGCCAGCTCCCCGCAACGCGCCCCCAGTCTCTCGCCGTGCCCACGGCGCTGCAGGCGGCAGAAGTCGAGCGCGGCAAGCGGCGCGGTGGCCCACGCGCGGCGGCAAGGGCGAGCGCGCCGGTATTCGAGGGGGGGTCCAAGAGGAGCTCAGGGGCATCGACGACAAGGGATTGCGCGTGTTCTCGGTGCTCATGACGAAGCTTCTCCTGCGGCGCGCGCGGCAGACGCGCGAGCCCGGCCGCCGCCCGTTCGACGCTTTGCGCGCCCGTCGCCGACGGCCGAGCTGGCGCGCATGTCGGGGCAGGCGCGCGACTACTCGGAGGCGGCGAAGAAGGGCGGGGAAAGCCGCGTTCGCGGCGCCCCGAACATCTGGGCGCTCGCAGGCCTCATTCTCGCGCTCGCGAAGGAGACGGGCGACGCCGCGGAGGCTCAGGCCGCGAAGGGCATCGCGGCCCCGCGGGGGCGGCCAGGGGCGAACGGCGCGGAGGCGAGGCGGAGTTCGTCGGGGCGTGCCGAGCGGGCGCGACGCACGACGAGGATCAAGGGTGCATCGTCTTCGCGGCGGGGGGGGGGGCCTTGGCAGAGGGCGGCGATCGAGGGCTGCGCGCCGACGGGCGCGAGTCGCAAGTCGCGCGCGGCTCTGCAGGTTTTCGACCGTAGACGTGGAATGGAGTCATTATGCGGCGCGCTCTTCGTTTCGCTTCCTGCTGCCTCCTTGGGACCTGTGTGCCGAGCGAGCGTTGCCATCGAGATGCTGCTGAGCTTCTCGAGAACGATGCGCGATGCGTCGGCCCCCCGGTTGCTTCGAGCGGCCCCCGAGCAGACATCGTGGCCACGCGTGCCTGTATAGTCGCGGCTCGACCCAGTTCAATCAGCGCGCGCGTCAAGGCTGCCCGGCAACGTCGACGGGAACCCTCATGCCCAAACGAACGTGTGCGCCGTTATTATCCGAAGGCCTCTGGCGCTGGGCTGCGCGCGCGCTCAAAGCGAGGGCAAGGCCCTGCGTCGATCGGCCCGCCGCCTCGGAACCCGGGCCAGGCCAGATCGATGAAATGAGGGATTGTCTCGTTTTGCGTGGGCCCAAACCGCCAACTCTTTCATTCCACTGGTCGTGGGTCTGGGTTGCGTCCCTGTCGGGGCAGATGCGAGCGGTTCCTCGCGGGCTTCTGCGGGGGCTCGCTCTAGGGCGTATCGGGCGCCCCTTCGCCAGACGCACAGGGTCGTTTCTCGGCGCATCCAGGCTGACGTGGAACCTCCCCCCTGTCCCCGGCGGCGGGCCATGGTGTCCAAATGTCTTGCGACGCCGCGCTGGGCGCTTCTTCATTCGCAAGCTCGGTCGATTCGTACATTTGGCGTCGCGTCACGCAGATGTCGGCTTCATCGTGATCAGAGATCATGCGATCATCGCGGTCGGCGGTCATGTCGGTTCATCGTCATCGGCGATGAGGGCCAGCGAATCAAAATCTACAGGCCGACCAGCGAGAGATAATCTTTTCTGGCCCCCATGAAGAACGCGGCGGACGCGCCCCGCGCATCTCCCCCCGCGACCCCACGTCGAGGGCGCCGCGCGGCCGCGCGCGATGGAGGAGCTCGCGCTGGGCGCGATGGGCGTGGAGCGGGGCGCGGCTCGCTGGAACTCTTCGATGTCGAGCGAGAGGGTGCGCGAGCATGTGCGTGCGAAGCGATAGCGGCGCGTCCCAGCTGGCCGTCGATCGGCGGAGCCAGCCTCGCGGGCATTCTCGCCCCGCGGCGCGGCTCCGAGCCCTGATTTCTTGCTGGGCGCTTCGGTTTCGAGGACTGCGCGCCGCCTCTGCATCTTGGGTTGTCCGGAATTTCGGACGGGCCGAAAGTGGCTCGAATCTGTTCGCCTTGACTCGGAATGTGCTCGAATCGTCGCTTCTGATATCAGATTTGGGCAGCATGCCCTAACACATTCAGCAAACAGGGGGCCAAAGGCGCGCAATCACAGCTCCGCATAATCATCTTTGCCATCGTCAGCATCACCCGCAGCATCGTCATCATCATCACGATCACCATCACCATCACCTTCATTCGCATCAGCAGCATCAGTTGCACCATCAGTAGCGCGCCCCTTAACCATGCACACGCACACACACACACACACTCCTCACACGCTTCGTGGCCCCATAGGGAGGTCCACATGAGGCTTCAGAGACAGGGTGCGCATTGCGCACACACACACATCCGATTCAGCACAGCCAGGGAATTCCACGGGAGGCCTTGTCGGCAAGGTCCGCGTGGCATGCCCGCATCCAATCACGCGCTCCGTGGACCCAGTGGGAGCTCCATTGAACTCCCGAGCGAAACGGTCCGCGTCGCGTACCCGCATCAGATCACACCTTTCGTGGCCTTTTTCGAGGCACTTCCACCGAAGACCGCAGCGGACGGCCCGCAAGGCGTGAACGCGCCCGATTCGGCATCGGCACTCCATCACCCGTTCCGTGGCTCCATAGGCGGGCTCCACTGAAGGCCCTCGGGGCAGGGTCCGCAGGGTGTACCCGCACCCGATCCGGCACAGTCCTCACACGCTTCATGGCCCCATGTGGGTTCCACCGAAAGACCCCGCGGCAGGGTTCGCATGGCGCACCCGCGCCCGATTTGGCACATTTTTTACACGCTTCGTGTCCCTGAACAAGGGGGTTTTACCGAACGCCCCAGCGGCAGTGTCCGCATGGTGTACCCGCACCCGATCCAGCAGACCCATTAAACGTTTTGTGGCCTCATACAGAGGGACATCTACGGAAAACCACTGCCACGGCACGGCGTGCCCGCACCCGATTGAGCGCACCTCTCACACTTTGCGTGCCCCATGAGGGGCCCCAACGGCAGAGTCCGCATGGCGTGCCCGCTCCCGAGCCGGCACATCCTTTACGTGCTGCGTGGCTCCACTTGGGGTTTCCACCCAAGGTTCCAGCGGCAGGGTCCGCATGGCGTACCCGCGCCCGATTCGTCACATCCCTCACACTTGTCGTGGCCCCAAAGGGAGCTCCACCGAAAGCCCAAGCGGCAGAGTCCGCATGGCGTACCCGCGCTCGATTCGGCACGTCGCTCGCACGCTTGGTCGTTCCATGGGGTACTCCACCGAAAGCTCCAGCGGCAGGGTCCGCATGGCGTTCCCACACCCGATTCGGCTCATCCCTCACACGTTTCGTGGCCCCATACATCGGGGACTCCACCGAAGGCCCCAGCGGCAGGGTCCGCACGGCGTACCCGCACCCGATTCGGCACACCCGTCACACGTTTCGCGGCCCCATACATCGGGGGCTCCACCGAAGGCCCCAGCGGCAGGGTCCGCATGTTGTACCCGCGCCCGATTCGGCACACCCGTCACACGTTTCGTGGCTCCGTAGGGAGCCCCACCGAGGGCCCCAGCGGCAGGATCCGCATGGCGTACCCGCGCCCGACTCGGCACATGACTCAGACGCTTCGTGTAGGGAGCCCTACCTAGGGCCCCAGCGGCAGGGTCCGCATGTTGTACCCGCACCCGATTCGGCACACCCGTCACACGCTTCGTGGCTACATGGAGTCCCACCGAGGGCCCCAGCGGCAGGGTCCGCATGTTGCACCCGCATCCGATTCCGCACACGCTTCACACGTTTCGTGGCCCCAGAAGGAGTTCCACCGAAGGCCCCAGTGGCAGGGTCCGTATGGCGCACCCGCATCCGATTCGGCTCACCCCTCACTCGTGCCATGGCACCAAAGCGAGCTCCACCAAAGATGACATTGACAATTGTGGTGTTCACAACTGCATATGGTTGGGTCATTCGCCAAGCTAATTTGTTGTGGGGGCGGGCTTTTTCTGGGCCTGGGCATCCCCAGTCCACACAAGAAATCAATCAGACAATCCGCCACCTCCTTATGGTCTTCCTCCCTCTTCTCCTCTTCCTCATTCCCCTGGCGCTCTTGCTTGTCCTTATTCCTCTTCTTCTTCGAAGTTCTGTCGCGGTGGCCCGAAGCGTCAGTTCTTCTCCTCTACCTCCTCTACCTCCTCCCCTCCCTTCCTCCTCCTCCCTTCCCTTCCTCCTTTCTTCCCTCCTCTGCCTCCTCCCTCCCCGTCCCTCCTCCTCTCCTCCTCTGCCTCCTCCCTCCCCCTCCCTCCTCCTCTCCTCCCTCCTCCATCTCCTTCCTCCCCGTGCTGCTTCGGAGCGTCTACCTGCAGCCTGCGCCTCGAGCAGCGCGCGGTTGCTGGACAACTCACCGAGCGCGGCAGGGCGCGCGAGCAGGCGGGCCACCCTGCCTGATCTGCCAGCTGCTGTCGTGTCCTCCCCCCCTGGCCCCTCTGGGGAGAATGCCGTCCCCCTCCCATCACCCCCTCCCTCGACCCGCTCCTCCTGGGACTTCCCCTCCCCCTCCCCCGCCTCCTCCTCCTCCTCCTTCTCCTTCTCCCCTCCCTCCCCCCGTCCCTCCCTCCCCTCCCCCCGTCCCTCCCTCCCCTCCTTCCCTCCCTCACCGCGGGCGCCCGCGAGTTCCGCAGGCAGCCCAAATCAGGCCGAGCCACGCCTTCGGGCCAGGGGTTTGGGCAACGTCGCTTCGTTTTGCGACAGGCCCTATCCAATCCCCCTCGCCCATCGCGGCGCGGCGCGCCCCTCCTCCCCACGCCCCTCCTCGTTCCCCCCACTCCCTTCCCCTCTCCCCCTCCCCCCCCCCTCCTCCTCGACCCCCCCCCCCCCCCTCCTCGATCCTCCTTCTCCCTTCCCCCTCGACCCCCTCTCCCCCCTCGATCCTCGACCTCTCGTCCTCCCCCATCCCCCTCACCGCGGCGCCGCGCGGGGCGCCGAGCGCTCCCCCCCCCCCCTGGGCGCCCCCCGCCCCCGGCGCATGGGCGGCGCCATGCCCGCGGCGCCCGCCGGCGGCCTGGGCGGCGGGTGGGCGGCGGCGCTCGACGCCGCCAAGCTGAAGGCGCCGCCCGCGCGGGTCTGCCCAGAGGGGGGCTCCTCCCCAGAGATCCGACGCTCCGACAAAAGTTGGAGCGGCAGGATTTGGGCCGTTTTCGGCCTCCGGGGGCCCTCGCCGGACCTCGGGAGCGACAAAAAACGATTCGGGAGAAAAAACTGTCCTGGGGAAGTGGTCCTCCTTCCCCGCCTCCTCTTCCTTCTCCCCCTCCTCCCCCTCCCCCTCCTCCTCCTCCCCTCCTCCTCCTCCTCTTCCTCCTCCCTCCCTCCTCCTCCTCCTCCTCCTCCTCCTCCTCCTCCTCCTCCTCCTCCTCCTCCTCCTCCGGACCTCCGGGGCCCACGCATCAAAAAAAAAATTGGAGCAGCCAGATGCCTGGGTCCCGTGCTCCCCCTCGTCGGGGAGAGGGTCGAGGGCTCGCTCGCCGGGGGCCTGCCCGCTCGGGCTCGCCGAGGGGGCCCCTCCCGTCCTCGGCCCCGGGCCCGCGTCGAGAATAGGAGTCTCCTCCCCTCTTCCCCCGCGTCGGAGGAGAGATGGGGGGGAGAGAGAGAGAGAGAGAGATAACGCCAGAGAGCCAGAGAGGTAATTAGAGAGAGTCAGAGAGATTGTGTGTGTGTGTGTGTCAAAGTATGGAGGCACCGCGAGCTCGGCCTCCCATCCCATATTCCCCAATCCTTCCCAACCGCGTAAGCCCACTGCCCTCCGTGCCCCCTCCTGCACACTTGCCCCACAAAAGGGCCCCGAGACCCGACGTCACGAAAGAAAGACAGTACCGCAAGAACATATCAGCCAGGGCCCTGGACCCCAGTTCCCGAGCTGGATGGATGCATTCGAATCCTGGGGGCCCCAAAAACCGCAAAAACGCCCGTCGCGGAACCCCTGCGACGCCAGGGGCTCGCCCTCTGAGCACGGGCAGCTCTCCCCAGCTCAGCTGCCTCGATAGGCTCGCTTGGAGACGCAGCGCGTACCGTGCTCAAGACGGCCGTTTCAACACCTTGCGTGTTGGCTCAGCGTCCTGCGGCTGCCCCCCCCCCCTTGTTCCTTCTCCCTCTCCTGTATCGTGGCTCGCTTCGACGGCGCCCCCGTTTAGCTCACCTCGCCAGCGCAGATGGCCCCTGCCTGGCCGCCGACGGAAAAGTGTGCTGGCTCAGGGCGTTGGGCCACGCTTTGGCCAACGCACCGCGCCGTGCCTGCGCGTTCCGTCTGCGTGTGGAGCTCCGTTGCCCTACGCTGCGCGGTGCGTGTTGCGCACCGGGGCAGCGAAGCTCCCCGGGCATCCCCGGGGCATTCTTCGGGTGTTGCTAGAGGTGCCCTTGGGCCAAGGTGCCCCCAGGATTCTCGGGGTAGCCCAAACGGCTTCCAAAGCACCCCTCACGAGGCCCGGGGTGGGGCCCGAGCGAAGTGAACCCCACCCTCCCCCTCAGAAATCGTAGGGGGGTAGGGGTCGGGTTCGCATGTGGCCCCCTACAGATGGCCCCCGGAGCTCCAAAATGGAGCGAAAAGCTGGGGGCACCTTGGGCCAGGGCTACTTCTAGCAACACCCGAATTCTGGAGCGCCTCCAGAGTGGCCACGCACCGCCGCGTGCGCCTCCACGCGTGCCCTGCTCTCCCCCGCGGGGCCTGCCGCCCGGGGCCGTCCTGGCCGGGGGCCTGCTGGCGGGGCTCGCGGCCATGCGTCCTTGGCGGCCCGGCAGGCGCGCGTTCCCGCTCTGACGTCGCATCGCAGGCAACTTGTCTCCCCCAATCCTTAAGTCTGGCCGTTCCCTCTACAGGAGGGATATTCCAAAATGGTCCAAAAATAGTCGGGGGACTATTCTTCTGTTATTTTTGGACTAGTCGCCGGGCTGATGCTGCTGCCCACCGTTCCCCCAGTTCGGTATCGTCACACCCATCCCCATCCCCATCCCCATCCCCATCCCCATCCCCTTCGAGACCCCCACCAAAGTACCACCCCAGTGGGGGATACATCTCTCGAAGCCCGAAGGGAACGGCCTATATCCCCATCCAGGGGGGTGAATCGACCAGTGGGGCCCAGGCCACGCCTCTGGGGATGGGGATCGGTTGAACGGTACTCACCAATCCCCGAGTGCTGCCCGAAGAGTTTGGCCGCTCAGAAAGAGGGGGGAAACCCTGAGATGCACTCCAAGGGGGCTATTCGGACGCACCCCTGTCGGGGATGGGCGCCCTCGGCCCCCCCATCACACTTCCCAGGGTTGGGCCCCAGCTTTCTGGTCCATCCGAAAACCCCACGAAGCCTGAGAGGGAGGTCGACACATCCCCTGCTAGGGGGCCCTCCGGAGGCCTTCGGCGGGCAGACCGCCCGCGCAGAGCCCCGCGAAGTAGTGCCGCCGACGCGCCATCGCCGTCACCACAGCTGTCGCCGTCCTCGTCGTCGTCGTCGTCGTCGTCGTCGTCGTCGTCGTCGTCGTCGTCGTCGTCGTCGTCGTCGTCTTCCCTGGCCTCCTCCTCCTGGGAGGACGAGGAGGACGAGGAGGACGAGGAGGAGGAGGACGAGGAGGAGGAGGAGAAGGAGAAGGATGAGGTGGAGGAGGTGGAGGAATAGGAGGAGGTGTATGTGGAGGAGGAGGAGGAGGAGGCGGAGGAGGTGGAGGCGGAGGAGGAGGAGGAGGATGAGGAGGAGGAGGAGGAGGAGGAGGAGGAGGAGGATGCAGAGGCGGAGGCGGAGGAGGTGGAGGAGGAGGAGAAGTGTCAGAGGAGGAAGAGGTACCGACGCCGCGGACCTTCCCTCGTTTTCCTTGTTGGGCCTCGCGTCCTTGCGGCTCCGGCGGGCCCGCCCGCCACCGCGCGGGGGACACCCCCGAGCTGCGGGCTCGTGCCTGGGCCTGCTCACCCAGGGTCCCTTCGTGCCCACCGCCCTCGCCCTCCCGTGCGCGCAGGGTGGAGGAGCGGGCCCGGGGCCGCGCGGGCGAGGCGCAGGAGGGCCCCCATGCGCTGCAGGATTCGGCCACGCGCAGAGGGGGGGTACGGGGGAGGGGGGAAGCAGGTGAACAAGGAATGACATTCACATAAACACTCGGGGGTTCGCGCGGAGTTCTCGGATCGACGCTGGGCCCCCCTCCATGGCGCGTGCGGAGCGCGCCAGGGGCGGCGCCGGAGGTGTCGCTGAGGGTGCCACAGCGCCGATCCGAGGAATCCGCGCGGACCTCCGAATTTGTATGTTTATGACATTATTTGTTCCCCTAGGGAGGCTTCTTAGAAGAACCCCTGCTTCTCGGAATGTGCGGGCCCTGTCTACAGAGGTAGGACTGGCGCCTGCTAAGAAGCAGGCTCCTTCTAAAAGGTCTTCCTCCCTCCACCGTAACCCCCTTGCGCGCGCCGCCCGAGAAACTCTGGAGGGCCCCGCTGCGAACAACATCACGACGTCGGATGTCTGGGGTGCCCAGGGAGTCAGGAGCGAGCGGAGGACGTACACGTACGTGAATCCACGTTGGTTTCGAGACTGCGCAGTGCACGAACGTTCGTATCACGAGGCTGGTCTAGCGAACTGGGGGGCCGTGTGCAAGTACGCGGTTGGGCGCTTGCGTCCTCTGTGGGCTCCCTAGGGTCACCACCCACCGAAGCACCCCAACCTAACCCGAAGGCCCAAATTCACCCTCCATTTCCACTGGGGGGGGGTCGGGGAACATTTTTTCTCCAGAGACCACATGGGTCTTCGGGTTAGGTTGGGGTGGTCTGGTAGGCAGTCAGAGGGAGGCGCCTAGGCACCCAGGGAGGCCCCCCCCCTCCTCGCCCCTCTGTGCTGCTGGTCCCGCTGCCCCCCTGCCGCCTCCTCGCCCCTCGGATGCTGCTGCCTCGCTGCTCGCACCGGACGCGGCTGAGGGGGAGAGCCGGGGCCGTCGCAGGTGCGGAGCGAGCTGACCCTGGACGGCTGGCGGAAGTGCCCTGCCCCCCCCCCGCGCGCGCGCGGGCGCGCCTGCTGGGCGCGTCCTACCTGGGCCCCGCGCGAGCGCGCGCGAGCCCGCGCGAGCAGGGCGCACCTGCTGGGCGCGCTCTTGGCCGAATCCCCGCGCGCGCGTGCGAGGCGCAGGATCGATTTGCCCCAGAATTGATTTCTCTTGTCGAATCCACAGAACTCTCACAGATCTGCGAATGGTTGTCGTATTCTTGTTGGCCCACGGCCGCGGTGCCCCATCGGGCCTTGCAGGTCGGCAGCCCCCCCCCCAGTTCGCAAGGGCGCCCTCGTGGGAGCGAAGCTGGTCGCGCTTAGCGCTGCGCAGTTCGGCTCCGATGCCTCCTCGTCCTTCTCGTCCTCCTCCTCCTCCTCCTCCTCCTCCTCCTCCTCATCCTCATCATCATCATCATCATCATCATCATCATCATCATCATCATCATCTTCTTGTTATTATTCTTCTTCTTCTTCTTATTCTTCTTCTTCTTCTTCTTCTTCCTCCTCCTCCTCCTCCTCCTCCTCCTCCTCCATTGGGCCTTGCAGCTCGGCAGCCCCCCCCTGTTCGCAAGGGCGCCCTCGTGGGCGCGAAGTTGGTCGTGCTTAGCGCCTCGCGGTTCGGCTCCGATGCCTCCTCGTCCTCCTCTTCTCCCCTGGGGGGCGGCGCGAGAGCGCGAAGTTGGGCGCCATGGGTTAGCTCGCAGATCGAGGGGGAGAGGGAGGAAGAGGTCAGCGCATGGACTCTGAATGCAGGCGTGGACGGACCGGGCTCTCCCTCCCTCCCTCCCTCGGCCTCGCGCCTCGCAAGGAAGTAAGGGGGAGGGGGAGAGGCTTCTCAGGCTCACCCCTGCTCCTCCTGAGGTGCGGGCCTGGTCTACGAAGGTAGGGCCCGCGCCTTCTGAGAGGCAGCCTCCGTCTGAGAAGCCTGCCCCCCTCCCCCTACCCCCTCGCGCGCGCCGCCAACTCCCTCCCCTCGGACATGGAAACCCGGCCCTCTGGTGGTGCCCGAGGTCCTCCGCGGCCGCAGCGGCGGCCGCCCGGCGCGGGCGCCGCGGTGCGGGCGCGGCTCGGGATCGCCGTGCGTGTCGCGGCGGCGGGAGGAGGAGGAGCAGAGATCCGGCCGGACGACAGGGTATAGGACAGGGAAAGGGGGGCACGACCTCTGCGACACGCAGCTGCTCTCCGCGCTGCCGCCGGGCCCACTCCTCGACACCCCGCGCGCCTCCCGGGGCCCGGAGGCGCCGGGAAGACCAGCTTCGCGGGCCCACTCGCTGCCTTGCCCCTTGCTGTCCTACAGTCGGGGCCCTGAAGAAGGAACATTTTTCGTTGGGGAGGGGCTCCGTGTTCCTTAAGTGTTTCACAGCTCGCCTCAGGTTTTCCTTATGTTTTTGATCGGGAATCAAAGTTTAACTTATGGAAAAAAAGGGGCCTCGTTCCTTATATAGGGTTCCTTAGGTCAACGCCCCGACTGTACCCTCTCTTGTCCCCCGCAGAGAGCGGCAGACTGGCGCAGGCTGCGCCGCATCCCGCGGGGAGAGGCCGGGCCCTGCCCGGGAGCCACGGGGGCGCGCGAGGCCGCGCCGGCGCACCCTCGGGGTGCCAGCCTCTCCCCGAGCTCCAGGGGGGGCCGGGCCCAGAGGAGGCACCAGGGAGAATTCGGGAGAGGGGTCAACATCGGTTGCGTTTCGGAGTCACTTTTCTCCAAATAGGCTTGCCCTACAGGCCCTACTAATTGGTCCGCTGCCCCCCCTAATTGCTATGGCCCGCCTAATTCCTATGGCTATGCCTGTGCCTATGCCTATGCCTCCCCCATGCCTCCCCCCTAACTCCTATGCCTACGCCTACGCCTACGCCTATGCCTATGCCTATGCCTATGCCTATGCCTATGCCTATGCACCACCTCTCAGCGCTTGCTTGCTTGCTTGCTTGCTTGCTTGCTTGCGCGCTTGCTTGCGCGCTTGCGCGCTTGCACGCTTGCGCGATTGCGCGCTTGCGCTCTTGCGCGCTTGCGCGCTTGCGCGCTTGCTTGCACGCTTGCTTGCTTGCTGAGTTGCGGATTCCGAGCATGGTCGATTCCTCTGATTCCTTCGTTTAAGTCGTCTAATCGATTTGGAGCCAACGCTGGCTGATATTTTCTCAGGGTTCAAGAAAACTGTCCCGGGATCCAAAACTATGGAATCGCTTCGCTCATTCCGCCAGCCTATACTGCGCGCCTTGGAAACCTTTTCAGGCTTCCCTCGGGGCCTCTGCGGGCGCAGGGCTCGAATTGTCGGTGCGTGTTCCCCCTCTTGGGCCCGTTTTGAGGCCGTTTTCGGGGCCCTCTTGGGCTGTCTGAGCGCCTCTTGGGCCGTTTCGGGGCCGTCTCGAGATGTCCTGGGAGTTTCTTTGGGGCCTCTTGAGCCGTCTTTGGGCGGTCTTGGAGGCCCCTGGGGCCGTCTTGGAGCTCCGGATATTCGAAAGGGCTATAGCGTGAAAAGCATTGAAGAACACAATCAAAATCACTGATTCATTGGCTTACGCCGCACCGCCGACCCTTGGGGCGGCAGTAAGGGTGAGAAACGGAGTTTGCGGAACGCGCGGGATTGCTTTGGAATCTTGGGGTTTCGGTTCATTGGGACTTCGTCGGGGACGGTTGGAGGATCGCGGCTCTGCTCCTGGGCTTCTCTGGAGACTCTCTTGCGTCGCGTGTGGGGTTCCAGTAGTGGCTATTTCGTTTTTTTTTGGGTTTTTCGTGGTCTTTGGGAGGAGGAGGAGGAGGAGGAGGAGGAGGGGGAGGAGGAGGGGGAGGAGGAGGGGGAGGAGGAGGAGGAATGGAAGGACGATGATGATGATGATGCTGATGATGATGATGATGATGATGATGATGATGATGATGATGATGATGATGATGATGAGAAGGAGGAGGAGGAGGAGGAGGAGGAGGAGGAGGAGGAGGAGGGGTCGCTTGGGGGCCTCACGGTGCCTGTCCCAGGTCTCCCGTGCATGTGCGTCGGCCCGTTGTGCGCGCGGATGAACACAAGGCTCGGGCTTTGCACGCGAGGAGCTACAGGAGGGGCGATGCACACGCTCCCGTTTTGAACTTGCTCCCGTTGGCAGAAGAAGAACGAGGCGCACCAGAAATGGCCAATGGTGAAACAGGCGACATGGTCGAGGACAGTGCCATCAGGGAAGGCTTCCAGCATTACGTGCGTTCTCCCACCACTGGGCCCATCCGTGCGCTCGAGGGCCTGTGTCGATCGATGTAGATGCCCGCGACAGTTCCCGCGTTGCTGGGCCCCAGGACCTTCAGAACCGGACGGAATCAAAACCACTGTTTTTTGTCTCCGTGGGCCCTCTTAGGGAACCTCTTGGAGCGCTGTTTGGGTTTCTTTGATGCCTCTTCGGCTGTCTTGCAGGTATCTTCGGCCACCTGTGCAGCTTTGGTGGCCTCCCAGGCCCGTCTTAGAAGCCATCTTGGGCGTCTGGGACGCATCTTGGGCGCATTGAAGAGCGCCTGGAACCCATCCCACCGTTGTGCGTGCGTTGTGAGTCAGAATCGCATGGGGTGCTCGTGGCGAGCGAGAAGAAAGAGGAGGAGGAGGCGGAGGAGGAGAATGAAGAGGAGGAGGAAGAGGGGAGGAGGAGGAGGAGGAGGAGGAGGAGGAGGAGGAGGAGGAGGAGGAGGCCTCTCGATCGCTTCTTGGGTTTTTTGGGGGGCCAAACCTGATCGTGGAGAAGACGCCTGTTTGGGAGGCTGTTTGGGGTCTCTCGGGAGGCTTATCGGGGCCTATGGCACTATTTTTGGGACCTCCTGGGGCCTCTTGAGAGCCTCTTGAGAGCCTCTTGGAGGTTTTGGGAGGCCTTCTGGGGGCCTGTCGGGGCCGAGAGCTGAAATGTCCGTTCGGGTGCCTCGTCGGGGCCCGCTCTTGTAGCTTCATTGGGGGCCTCTTGGGCCGTCTTGGACGGCTCTTGGGCTGGCTCCTGGCCCTGTGGGGCCGTCTTGGGGCCCTCTTGGAGGCGTCTTGGCCCGTAGCGGGGCGATCTTGGGGGCTTCTCGAGCCGTCTTGGAGCGCGGGTAAGACGAAAAGGCAAGAACGCCGAAATCATTGAAAAACCTGCAGAACATCCCATATGTTTTGGCCTCCAGGGATCCACTTGGGAGGGCTCTTGGTGGCCCCTTGGGGCGTTCGTTGGAAGGCGCCTTGGGCCATCTGAAGGCCACGCTAGCTGTCTTGGACCGATCGTCGACGACTGGGAGCCCTCTTGGACCGTCTTGGAGGCCTTTGAGGGCGGGCTCTCTTGGAGCGCTCTGGATGGGTGATGGGCGGCGCCCAGAAGAAAAACCATTTCTGATCCGTATGGGCCAGGGTACTTCTTGTCTGGGGACCCCCAGGGGCCGCCCCGCGCGCGCGAAGTAGAAATATTAATTTATGAAGCAGTTACCGGAGATCTTGGCACGCCTCTGGCCCGTTGGGCCAGCGAATTTCCGGGACCCGCCGTGTGGGACATCCTCAGACAGTTCCCATTGAAGGAGTTGTTGGTTGGTGGGTTGGTTGGCCGGTCAACGAATTAATTCTTTCAGCATCACAGCGTAGATACATTCCCGAGCAGCTCTCCGTGCGTGACGAGCATGCTCCCAAGTCCGATCGAGAAGTCGTTTCCTCTGGAAGTTCAGGCCCCCAAGGACGTCACTGCGTACTTTACGAATCATGCGTTGCGCCAGCACGGCCTCGCACAGCATGCGCCGCACAACTCCCTTGGACCATAGGGGAGGCGGGGGGTGGAGGGGGCATCTTTGAGGCGGCATTCGGAGGCTCCGTGGCCATTTGGAGCCGTCTTGGGGCCTCTCGGACGCATGTTGCGGGTCACCTTGAGTCATCTTGGACCATATTGCGCAATGGGTGAGTCCACGTTGAGCCGTTGAGCTATCGGAGACCATGTTGAGACCATCTTGACCCCACAGCCTCCGAAGGATGTTCCTGATGCGCCCCTACACAACTGAAATACGTTTTGGTGTTCGATGATTTTGGCGTTAAGCGAAGATGGCTCTAAGTTGCCTTGCCCCCGGTCAGAGCCCGAAGTGTCGCGCCTTGGGACGTTTTGGGAAGCTCTTGGGGCTGCCTTGGACCTTTTCTCTGCCCCTCGCGGGGCTTTCTTGGGCGGTCTTGGGGCCATCTTGAGCCATCAGGGGCTTAATCATTGGAAGCGACATGGCAATGAGCCCAGACACACTGTATGTGACATGTGTTTGACATGTGTTGGCCTCTCGTTCTTAGCCTTGGGGTGCACCGTTGCACTCTGGGGCCTTCCTGGGGCAGTACTGGCCTCGTGGTGGCAAGCTGGAGGGCATATCCAGCCATCTTGGAGGCCACCTTGGGCTATCTGGGGATCTCTTGAAGCATCCTCGGCCAAAAGGGGCTCCTCTGACGCTTCGCGGGGCTCCCCCCTTCCAGGCCCAGGGGGAAGGACGGGCAGACCCCTCCTCGAGGGCTTGTGGCAGCAGCCCTCTCCGAAGCTGGTGGGCACGACCTCTACAGCTGCGGGCACGGCTGTCAGGCCCCGGCTTCCATCCGGCTCCGGCTCCCGCCTCTTTCTCTCGGACGCCCTCGGTCGCCACGGTGGCAGGCCTAAGACCAGGAAGCGAGAGGGGGGGGTGGACGGCTTTACGCGCGTCCGTTTATCAGGGTTCGATCGGCTACTCAATCGAGGAACGAACGAGACGGCGTCGTCCAAGGCGACGGTCTCGGCGGTGAAAGATGAGACTGGCGTTTCGAAGTATATGCCGCGAAATGCCACGGGAAATGTGTGCCGATGGCCGTGTTGGACAACAACGGCTTCGACAACCCAAGCGGGCGCCGAACAGCGTGCGTGTCGGCTGCCACCGTCCTTGGTTCCCACCTCTCCGACTCCGAGTCTCACCTCCCCGACTCCCGACGTCACCCCGACAGGCTAATGCTATGTGTGCGTCGCCCCCGCAGGGGCGACGCGCGCACCGAGACATCTTATAGTATGTGCGTCGTGGCGGGCGCTTTCTGGCCACACCCCTCGGCAAACGATATACGACAAGATGGGTGTACTGTCTGCTCGGGTTCGGGCCGGACGCGCGCCTCCAAGGAGGACATATAGTACGATCGGGCCGGGCGAAAGGGGGGGATTGGGAAAGGGGGGGTTACGAAATTTGCTGCGTGCAGCTGGTTTCGGCCTCACCGAAGGGCCCATTCCTCGATACATAGCCGCCTCCGGCGCCGGGAGGCGCCGGGAAAACCAGCTACGCGAGCCGATTCTCAAACCCCCCCTTAGCTATCCCCCGCTTTCGCCCGACCCGATACGAGTGTGTCTCTGTGCGCCCCATCGGGCCCTGGTCCGCTCGCGTGCCCCCGCGGGGCGGTCCGTCGGGCCGGCGGTGGGCGCTCCGCTCCGCGCCGCTCCGCGCGTGCCGCTGGAGCGCGCGCGCGCGGCGGCCCCGGGGATCTCCGAGCTCGCGCGTGGGCGCCCCGCTCGCCTGCGCCCGGCGTGCCGCGGGGGTCGGGCGACTAGTGCACCCTTGGGCCCTTGGGCAGCGCGTGCTCACCACAGGCAGAAGTACACAGTGTTCACTTCGAAGTCTTCGAAAGCTCTCTGGTGGTTTGGGGGGCCGAGATTTTTTCATTTCTAAGTGTTCTATCCTGGGCCTCTTCCTGGCCACTAGGGGGCCAGGAACAGCCAGAAACGAGCACACTTAGAAATGAGCACGATTAGAAATGAACGACATGTATCACTACCACCAGCTAAGGGGGGGGACGGGCTGTCCCACCTTCTCGAGCTGGTGGCACCTCGTTCCGGGCATGCCTCCAGGGAGTGCCCGGAAGGAGGTGCGCTCAGCTCGAGGGGAGGGAGCGGCCACCCCCCTAGCTGGTGGTGGTGGTACTTGTGTCTCTCCTGATGTGCGCCCCCCTGGCCGAGCCAGGAGGGCGTGTATACACCGTCCCTGGTCACAGCATGGGCCTGGCCAGCGGCGATGGATCTGTGTATAGATCTCGTCGCCCTAGGGGGGGGGGGGGGGGCGGCTTGCGCACGCCACGGCGTCTGGTCGCAGCCGTGTCGGCCCCGGCGAGGAGGCTGCCTCGGGGGACCGCCCGGCGGGCGCCCCGCTGGCGCGCGCGCGCGAATGAGGCGGCCCAGGGGCCCTCACGCCGCGGCGGCCCGTGCGCTGCTGCTCGGGGCTGCGACGCCCGCGTGCGCCTGGTGGCCCTTCGAGGCCGGCGAGGGCGAGGACCAGCGGCGAGCGAGGGGGGGAATCGGCTACACGTAAGAGTGACCTTTCGCCGGAGTGACCTTTGGTGTGCGCTCACTGGGGTCCCCCGACCGCCGCGCTCGTTGCGATACCAGCGTCTTGCGCGCTTGTGTTTGGCCTCCTCGCGCCCCCGGAAAAGCCGCGCACCACAGGTCACTCTTACCCAGGGTCACTCTTGCGTGCAGCCGAGGGAAGTGAGAAGGAGAAGGCCTTCTCAGAGGGTTGGGAAGACGCCCGGCCTTGTGAGAAGTGTTCTAAGCCTTCCCCGAAAACGAACAGGAGCTTCTCAGAAGGCGCGAGGGCTTCTGAGAAGTCCCGCCGCCTTCGAGACGGCCTTCTCCTCCTCAGTTCCCCCCCTCGCTCTCCGCCCAGAGGAGAGGCAGGAGGCCCAGGACCGCCCGGGGCTCCAAGGCTCCAGGCCTCCCGCAGCGACTAAACTCGGCCAGGAAAGACTCGGCCAGCGGGGCTCGGCCCACTGATCTCGGCCACTGAATTCGGCCGGCTGAACTCTGAACTCCGCCCAGGAAAAGTTCGGCCGGGCTGAACTTCAAGGGGCCCAAGGACACACAAATGAATACACACAAATAAAATGATCCCCCAAATTTTTCAATGTTTTGTAGGTGTTTGTCTTCCCGCCCAATTCCCATATTTTCCCATTTATTCCTGGGAGTCGACGATTAATTGTGTCTGTGTGTTTTTTCCCTCCTGAAGAACTCTGCGCAGCTGGAAACTAAATTCGGCCCTTTGAGCTCGGCCGGCGCTCCGGCTGTCACGTGAGAACCAGAGGAATGTGGTCAGAGAAGTTAGGCCGGAGAAAGTCGGCCAGGGCACGTCGGCCAAACTAAGTCCGTGTCCGGCCCAAGAAACTCGGCCCGGGGAAAAACCATTTTGCAGGAGAGATTAATTCGGCCACATTGGGCATCTTGGTTGGGCAGCTTGGCGGCAATGGAGGGCTGATTTTGAGGCCACGAGGGCCATAGAGGTGCGTTCGGACGCCCTACCCTCCTCCTCGCCCTCGTCTCACTGGAAGTTTGACTCAAGGGGAGGGGGGAAGGGGGACGAGGAGTGATAGGCAATCGTCACCTACGCTTTTGCAGCCCTGGCACTGGTTGCAGAATCCCGGCCGTGTCCCCAGAGAGCGTCGGCCGAGGGGCGGGGGGCGGGGACGTTGCCTTGGGGAATCGCGGAGGCGTGGAAAGACGAGGGGAGGGAGGGGGGGGAGGAGGGGGAGGGGGTGGATGGCTTCCAAACTGTTTGTAGTCACCCACCTCTGCGCTGGCCTAGCTTACTGTTCGTCTTGAGCGGGATCTGCTTCGGGGGACGAAAGTCACCTCAGGGTAATCATCTCGAAGTAGACGAGGAGTGAGCAGGGAGAACAAGGATGTGGTGCATCTGGGATACATGGATCATGGGCAAAATTTTAGTGACTACAGCACTCTCTGCACTCTCTGTCGCCACGCACAGCTTACGTCTGATTTGGTCCATCTTATTTGTTGTGTTTCATTCAAGGTGGTTGCACTAGGGCAAGGCACGTGCGTGACTACAATATGTGTTGCAGCCACCCAAAATTTTAGCAGTGTTTTGCTATTCGCTTTCATTCATTCTGCAGTTGAATTTGGTGTTTCTTTCCTCGGCTCTGCTCTTCTCGTCTCGGCTACGCTCTTATCGTCTCCTCTGGTGTTTTTTCCAGCCTAGCTCTCTCGTGGGGGACCTGCGCGCAGCAATGCTGAAATCCAGCCCGCTCGAAGGGTGACGCCGGCATTTCGGCTTTCCTCGAGCAGGCTGCGCTTGTTTGAACAGGGGCTCGCCTGCGTGATGCGCCTCGCGCGGGCTCGCCTCGTGGGAGCCTCGCGCGCGCGGAACGCCCGCTGCGCCTCCCGGAGTCGATTCCAGATGAGCTTGGCCGGGCGACACCCGGCCTGCCGAACCCAGACCGAGAAACTCGGCCAGAAAAACTCGACAGGACAAATTCGGCTCGGAAGAACTTGGCCGGACAAGGTAGGGCCAGGAACGCTTCGGCCGGTGCGATTCGGCTGGCAAGATTCGGCCGTGGAAAATTTGAGCCAAGCTGGATATCGGCCCACGCTAACATCGGCCCAACGACCTCGGCCGGCTCTCCCATTGCAGCGGGAGTTCGTTCTATATGCGTCCAAACGAATTCGTATAGGAGAGATTCGGCCATAAAGATTCGGCTTGGGAATTTCGGCCAGAGGAACTCGACCCACGCTGAGCTCCGCCACGGGAAATTCGGCACCTGGCCGAGTTTAGATTGTCCCATTTCGGCTGGCCAACTTTCGCTTGGCAGAGTATCTCCTTTGTCTGATTGGGTCCGACTACATGGGGTCGGAGGATAGCTTTGCCGGTGCATCGCCGATGCGGCTCGACGTGGAGCCTGATTTGCTTTGCGCCGGCGTCGCCGATGCTCCGCCGACGTTCGCAGGCCTAGAGGTTGACACCAACACCAATATCGGCATTGTTCCTCAACCGAGAGAAGAAGATCCCGATCTCGGTGATGGTGGTAATTTTCTGGCTTCCAAGGTGGCCGAAATAAATCTAGGATCATCTTCCCCTTGTGGAGGCAACCCCCTGGGCTGGTGTTGGTGCCAATTTCCAGGCCTCCAAGACGTCGCCGATGCATCGTCGGTGCATCGGCGATGCAGCTGCGATGCAGCGTGATCCTCCGACCCCATCCGCTCGGACCCCACCGTAGAGGCCTCGGAAGACGCGGCAGGTTCATGTCGTGTCGGCGCGGCGACGGCCCAGCGCGGGCGTTCAAGGTTGAACGCCATGTGTGGCCCAGAATCAGCCAATGTCCAGGAGGGAAAAATACACACGGACACAAATAATCGTCGATTTCCCAGGAAAAGATAGGAAGAGATGGGAAGTGGGGAGGGGGGAAGACAAAGACCCTGAACATATAGGAAAATATGGGGAATCCGGTGATTTGTGTATATTTGTTTGTGTGTCCCAGGGTCACTTCATTGAACGCCACCTGTGGCCCAGAATCGGCCAATGTGGAGCGATCTGGCGATCGACACGCCGCCGATCGCTCGAGGCTGAATGCTCTACGCGGTGTCAGAGGCCAACGCCGAGGTCGTCACGGCACGAACCCGCCGTATCCAGTCCGAGCTTCTGCAGCGTGTGAGGAAGCCGTTTTCGGGTCGAGGGCCGCCAGGGGCTCCAGGATACCCAGTCTGAGGGTTTCAGCGTCTCTGGAGTCGTCGACGAGAAACGGCACAAGCATCAGCGTTCGGAGATCCGCGCGGATTTCCTGGTCTGCGCTGGGCCTCCCCTGACGGCGCCTCCGTCGCCGCCCTTGGCGCGCTCCGCGCGCCAAGGAGGGGGTCCAGCACAAGGCAGATCCAGGAAAGCCGACAGGAGCTCCGACAGCTTATGTGTTGCATTTGTTGGTCATCTACGGGGCCGCCGAAAGACGGGGCTAGTCCTGTGAAAGGCGTGGAGAGGTTCGGGGCCCCGAAGCTCCAACAACAACTTTTTCCGTTGGAGGTTACAAGGCCCAGGACTGGGAAGACGTCGTCGGCGTCGTCGTCTTGAGGGTAATGCCGGGCGTCTCGGGAGCTTCTCGTGCCCACGGCTGGGCGCGGCTCGCCAAATTGGCCAGGACGTCCCATGGGACAGGTCTGAAGCTCAGATTTTGCAAATTTTCGTTCTAGTCGCCGCCATCGTGGCCGTCGTCGTCCTTGGTCGTCGTCGTTGTCGTCGTCCTTCGTCGTCCTCGTCCTCTTCCTCGTCCTTGTCCTCGTTGTCCTTCGTCCTTCGTCCTCGTCTTCGTGTTCGAGGACGGCCCCAGCGGCCCCAGCGGGCTGCCTCCTGGCATGGAGTTCGCCTTTGGCGGTGTTCCTGTGATCCACGTGGACAGCCACTTCGGCTTCGACCCCTTCGAGGACATCCACAGGAACATGGGCCGGCTGATGGAGAAGTCCTCGAAGGACAATCAGATGCTGCTGCCAGCGGCCGGCGACGCGTCGCCCCTAGGGGCGCCGGCCTCGCCGCTCGAGGTGCAGCTCGGCAGCATCCTGGAGCTCTTCGGGGAGCTCCACTCCGGCCAGTTCGGGCGCGCGGAGGGCAGCTTCGAGGTTCGGGCCGGACGAAAGGGGGGGATTGGGAAAGGGGGGGGTCCGAAATCTGTTGCGTGCAGCTGGTTTCGGCCCCACCGAGGGGCCCATTCCTCGATACATAGCCGCCTCCGGCGCCGGGAGGCGCCGGGAAAATCAGCTACGTGAGCTGATTCTCCCCCCCCCCTTTGCTATCCCCCCCTTTCGCCCGACCCGAGAGGTGAGCGAGGACGACCCCTCCCGCTTCCGCATCTCGGCCCTGCTGCCCGGCTACAAGCTCGACCCCGAAGGCGGCGGCGACGAGAGCCCCGACGAGAGCCAGCTGAGCGTCCGGGCCGTCGGCAAGCGCTCGCTCGTGGTGAGCGGCAGCCAGCCGACCGGGCCGCTCATCCGGACGTGGCAGCGGAGCTTCTCCCTGCCGAGGGGCAGCAAGATCGACGAGGTGGCCGTGACGTACAGCGCCACGACCGGGAACCTCACGGTGGAGGTCCCGCGCGGGAACGCCACGGAGGGCGAGGAGGAGTCCGGGGCAGCGTCGGCGGGGGTGGGGCTCCGGGGGGGGGGGGGCGTCGGCCCCCCGTCGCACACTCAGCGCCGATGGGGGGGATGGGCCCGAGGGCCCGAGGGCCCGCCACAGAGCGCGCGGCTTCGCCAGCGGGGGCCTGTCGACGATCCATCGGCGACGCAGCGCCGATCCGCCGATCCCGGGTCGGACGTCCGCCCCCCCCCCTTTGTTCGGCACGAGCGAAGCCCAGACATCGGGCGTCTCGAAGAAGTCGAGGCGGAGATCTGCCGTCGTTTTCGGCCTCTCGGGGCCCTCGCCGGGCCTCGGGGCCGTCCAGAAACGACTCGGGATGGAAAACCGCTCCCGGGGAAGTGGTCGGGAGGTCGGGGGCCCGTGTCTCGACAAAATCGAGACGTCGGATGTCTGGGAATGGGTACGAAAAGAATGGGCACAATGCCCAACAGCAGTTCCTGTTCATTTTGATCAGGACTCGCTGCCCGCGCCGCCGCGGCCTGTGCCCACTTGAGACAGACGTCCGCCTGCCCAGCAGCGGCCGCTGCTGGTCTGGGGCAACATTTGGTGTTGGGCATTGCACCCCTTTTTCCGTGTCCACCTCGGGCGCCAAGACCTGTGCCAGTCCCCCCTCAGGACGAGGAGGAGCCCGAGGACGAGCTGGACGTGGCCGGGCTCCCGCCCGCGCTGCGTGCACTGCACGCCGGCATGCCCGGCCTGGTTAGCCAGATGCAGGCCGGCCGGCCCCAGGGCCGCGGCGGGGGCGGCTTCCTGATGCCGACCGGCGCCCTGCCCCTCGGGGACGTCTTCGGGCCGGCCTTCGGCATGCTGGAGACCATCCGGCGGCTACAGAGGGTGTGGTTACGCCGGGGTGTGTCGGATATAGCCAGGGCCCAGGTCGGCCACGCGCGGGGGGGGGGGGGAATTCGAGGTTCGAACTTCAAGGTTCGAGATTCGGAGCGGTTTTTTAAAGTTTTCGGCCTCTGGGGACCGTTTTCGGGTCCTGGGACCCCGAAACTCGACCTGGGGTGAAAAACTCCGTCGGATGGACCTTGGGAGGGGTCAAGGGACCGATTTTGATTTACATTCGGCCACGCGCAGAGGGGGCAGGGGGAGGGGGGAAGGCTTCTTAGGATAAGGCTGATTCTTAGAAGGCGCGGGTCTTGTCTGTAGATGTCAGGCCCGCGCCTTCTCAAGAAGCAGCTTCCTTCTCAGAAGCCTTTCTCCCTCTTCCTATCCCCCTCTGCGCACCGACAATCAGGGTGAGGGGAGCGGGGTAGTGACGGGGTCCCGAAGCCCAAGCAATGAATCATGATCACTAAGCCAGGTCTGCCGTAGCTGTTGTTTCTCGGGGTTGCTGCAGTTCTGGTCAGTGGAACCGGGCGGCGGGGGCGTTAGCATTAGGCCAGCGTCCGAGTATGGTGTGCGATCGGCGCCGATTGGGATTACACGCCAGTCATTGGAAGGAAGTATTTCTGGATTGCCAGATCCCAACCTACGTCTAGCGCCTTTCTACTTCAAGCATCGATGTTTTTGGCTGTGTGTTGTTATTCTCTGGGCGGGCCCCAACCCAATCTACCTCATCCGCCTTCCTACATCCAGCTGCTCCCATTTTTTTGATGCGTGGACCCCCGAGGTCCGAACCACTTCCTCAGGACTGTTTTTTTTCGTCCTGAGTCGCTTTTTGACGCTCCCGAGGCCCAGCGAGGGCCCCCAGAGGCCGAAAACTATCAAAATCCCGCCGCTCCTCCTCCTCCTCCTCCTCCTCCTCCTCCTCCTCCTCCTCCTCCTCCTCCTCCTCCTCCTCCTCCTCCTCCCTGGCAGATCTCTGGGCTCGGCGCGGGTTGCAGACCACACCCTTTGCAGATCACACCCTCCGGAGTCGCCGAGCCGTGCACCCGCGCTTCCACGCCCCGCCCGGCGCCGAGCAGCCCCTCCCAGAGGACGCGGAGGTGACGTTGGTTGGCTGCTTCGCGGAGAGCCAGCTGGCCAAGGCTCGGAGGGCGCCAGCAGTACAGTGGAGGCCCATGCCAAGAATCGGGGGACCGTAAGACCCGGGTTTTCCAGGACTCGGGTTCGCCATCGTTTTTTGACGACCGCGCCTCGGATTTTGACGAGGAGGAGTTTCGTGGGATGTCTGCAGCGGGAGGCCTCGTCAAAATGCAGGCTCGGCCTCGTCATTTTTTTGACGACCTCGTCGGGGATTTCCGAGTCCCCTGTACCCAGGTCTTACGTCCCCCTGAAAGAAGCACCCTGCTTGCCTCCAGGGTGCCCTGGGCTTCTTGGGTTTCGATGGTGTTGCGACGGACGGCGTGGCGTCCCCACACCGAGAATCCATGGACGTCCTGGTGTCTCAGGGTTGGGCTTCTTGTGGAAGGTTTCTTGTGGACTGGCTTCCACTGTGCAGTCGGGGCGTTGCCCTAAGGAACCCCACGTAAGGAACGAGGCCCCTGTTTCCCCCAAGTTACAATTCGATGTTCCGTCGGAAACCTGAGGAAAGCCAAAGGCCAACTGCAAAACGAGTAAGGGACACTGAGCCCCTCCCACACGAAAAGGGTTCCTTCGCCAGCGCCCCGACTGTATACGCCTGCGGCAGGTTCGCGTCGCGCCGACCCGGCGGCGACCCGCCGCGGGGGTTCGAGGTTCCGCGCCGCCAACCAGCGGCCCAGAATCGGCCAGCATTCAGGAGAGAAAAAGACACACAGACACAATGAATCGTCGATTCCCAAGAAAATATAGGAAAATGTGGGCAGTGGGGGGGAAGACAGAACCCCAGAAAATATGGAAAAATATGGGGAATTCTTTTATTTGTGTGCATTTGTTTGTGTGTCCTGGGGCCCCTTCAAACATGGAACGATCCGGCGATCGAAAAACACAGATCATTCAATGTTGAAGGATCCACGGGGTGTCAGGAACCAACGCTGGGGTCGGCATGACACGAACTTGCCGTACACCAGTCCTGGCCAGGTCGAACTTGGGCCCAGGATTGACAAAAAACGTTCCTGCCAAATGCAGGAGGGCGTCTACTCCGATGCTGGGCCCAGGATGAGCCTGGCTAGGATCGGATCGGCGTACGTGTATAATTGACGTCCTCCCGAAGGTGGAGCTGAAGTACTACGGCGAGGCCAACGCCGCGAGCTTCAACGCCATGTATTGGCATGCGCGGTCCGACCACGTCAGCTACTCGGCAGGTTTACGCCATTCCGCCGACCCCAGGATGGAGGATGGGCGGATGTGATTGTTCGCGCGTCCCGTACCCCCAGCAGCCCACTCGAGTGGAACGGCTAACAGTTCTCCTTGAGATTGTTCGCAGCTTTTTTAAAGTCATCTTGGAGGTCGACTGCCTGTTTGGGAGCTTCTGAGGCCGTCTCGGCCCCCTGGTTTGGCCATCTGGAGATCCGTGGGGCCCTCTTGGAGCCATCCTGGAGGCCATCGATCCACAAGGAGGCGTACTGAAATTAACCTCTCCCGCTTCGAGTCCGAAGCTACTTTCTCGAGCTCTTTCGGGACGATCTTGTGGGCGCTCTTGGTGACCTTCGTTACCGTCCTGAGGCGCTTCTGGGCTCCATCTTGGGGTTCTCTTGGCCGACCTTGGAGCCATCTTGAGGTCTCAGCAGCCCATCGAAAGCGAAAAAATGATAGAGAGGGGGGGGGCACAATTCATGGAACTACATTGTGTCTTTTCCTGAGGGTTTGGCGTGTCAGGGTTATCCTTGGGAGGCTCGGTGGCCGCTTGGAGCCATTTTCGGGCTTCGTGGCCGTGTAGGAGCCCTTCTGAAGCCGAATTGGAGGCTCTTGCATATCTTGAAGGCGTCCGAGAGGATTTGTTGGCTCGGAGGGCCCAACTGGGAAAGGGGTTGGGAGGTTCACCCCCGGTCAAGCGGGGGTCGGTCGATTTCGCCATGTCTCGGCACCAGGTGCCCATGGGGCACGCCTTCACCGCCAAGGGCTTCGCCCACGAGGACGAGAAGGCGCAGTGGGGCGTCTACGACGGCTGCGGATCCCGGTGCGAGGACGACGACGACAGGTGGTGCGGCTGCGCCAACGAGGACAGCAGGGGCCTCGGCAACGCGAACTGCCCCACCGAGGGCGAGAAGAGATTCGCGGTGTACAAGATCGCGAACGCGCCCCCCGCGGCCGACGCCAACGCGTCCGCGGGGCCGCCGGGCGAGGAGGCGGCGGGGCCGCCGGTCTCGGCCCAGGGGCGCCCCTACTGGCAGCTGGCGGGCGGCAAGGACGGCGGCGAGGCCTCCATCGAGATCGTGGTGCCGAAGGGGCAGGTCGCCAAGGCGAACGGGCGGGAGGTGCTCCTCTACAGCGACGAGAGCGACGCGGCGCCGGCGGCCGCGGGCGAGGGCGGCGAGGGCGGCGAGGGCGGCGAGGGCGCTGCGGCGCAGGCCACCACGGCGGCCCCGCCAGCGGCCCCCAGCGTGGGGAAGATGAGGCTGCCCGTGGGCGTGTCGCCAGATGCGTGCGAGTACGACCTCACGCGCCAGACCGAGGGCGGCGCGCAGGTTCTGAAGTGCAAGCTGCAGACCGACGTCGTCAAGAAGCTGCCCATCAGGGTGGTGGACGAGCTCTGACCCGTCGTGGCTGGCCGTCTCCCCCCCCCGCCAGCGGGGCCCAGCCGCGGCCTCGCAGGTGGCCGGCAGGGTGCCTGGTCTTCGAGACGAAGGCCCCTGCATCTGCGCCGCCTCCGCTCCCCCTCCGCAGAAGGCATCCGACACCACCGCCATGCCCGGCCAGGTCACCGTGGGCCCCAGGGCAGGGCACGGGCCCTCGTGACCTCGGCCAGGGTGGGCGTATGCATCACGCCGGGGCCCAGGAGGGCCCCTGCCAGGCATGGTGGCGTTGTGTGCGTGTGTGCCTTCGGCGCATCCCTCTCCCCTAGCGTAGGGCCCCTTCGCACATCGAGTCGCCCTCTGCGCTGCAGGCACCGCCCTGGTCGACAGAGGATCGATGTTTGCTCGCGAGAGGTCAAGACAGGTCGAGCCCTCGAGTCCTCAAATCCTTGAGCCCTCAAATTCTCGAAGCATCGAGCCCACGAGCCCTCGGTCGAGCCCTCGAACCTCGGGTCACTGGTGACTGAGCCGTCGGGCGCGTCGGGCGCCAGGGGCTGGTGGATGGAGGCGCCGCGACGACCAGCCTCCTGCGCGGGAGAGGCCCTCCTTGCGGCAGCGCCGCTCTCGCTCTCTTGCTGATCAGCGATAGGGGAGGCGACTCCGCTGTCGGCGTCGATCCTTCGAGTCCGCCGCCGCCGATTCGGAGTCTGTCGTTGTAGCCGGGCTTGCGCGTACCTCGCAGGAGTCGCTGGCTATGTACGCTCGTATGCCTGATCCCACTGCGGCGGCTGACGAATGCACTGGGCTCAAATGGGGCCGCCCTGGACGTCGCGCCCACTGTCCTCGTGAGAGTGTCGGGGGTGGACAGAAGGCCCACCCTGACACGTCGATTAGTGAACTGTCCGCTTTCGGTTCTCGAGAGGGCGCCGCGACAGTCATTTTCCTGGCTTGCGCCAGCCAGGTTTGGGCCCGAGGTCGTTTTCACTAAACCGCGTTTTACTGAAGGGGGTTCATCCCCGAGGGGGGTCGCGTCGCTCCGCCCGGTCACGAGTCCCTGGTGCCACCTCCTACGACCAGTCGACTGCCTCACGCGGCCCTCTCGCCCTGGCCCCTCGCACACCCAGGCGGCCGGCGACTGCGCCGCGGCCCTCCGCCCGGCAGTCAACACAGCAGCCGCCGAGCAGCAGGCCCATGATCCAGGGGCTCGTAGAGGGGGGGTTGGCCCAGGGCTGGACCTAAACGCTGTTTTGCTGGGCTTCGGCCGTGCTTTGTTTTTCGTTGTGGCAGGGGGGTATAGGAAAACGGGTAGAGCAGAACGAAAAACGAAGCGAACACAAAACGAAAAATAACGTTTAGGCTCAGCCCTGGGTTATCCCAAGGTGGAGCTGGGGAACGGGCCCAGCCGGATGCTCCCGTAAAGCGTCATTCCTTCTTCCAGGGGCCGTCCGGAGCGATTGTCCCTCCAACCCCACCCTTGCCCCTGCCCCACCTTCGTGCCCCCCGAATGATGGACGCCAGCCCAGCGAACCAGCGCGGCGGTCCCAGGCACGTGTGCTGGACAGCGCAGGCCAGTGCCGAGGTGGTGAGCGGCTCGACGGCGGGCCGGGTGGAGAGCAGCAGTGGCGGCCGGCACACACTTCAGGCGGCGCCGCCCCAGGAGGATTCGGCACGAGACGGCGACCGAGGGGAGGAAGAGATGAGTTCTGAGGATCAGTGATTAGCATTCTCGTCAAAAAGGACTCCAAAAATGGCGAGCACGCCCCTTCGATGTCGGCGCGCTCTTTAATGTCGATACGACGCCCCTCCAATGTAGGGGCCAGGGCAAAGGTGGTCTGACCTGGAACGACTCGGAAGTCCGATGTTGACCGACATTGGAGGAGTCACCGCTACTCTCCATAGCGTCAGAATCAAACATGTCTTACGTGTTCCGAGTCGTTCCCGGTCAGACCACCTTTGCCTTGGCCCCGACATTGGAGGGGCGCCGTATCGACATTGAAGGGCGCGCCGACATCGAAGGGGCGTGTTCGCCATTTTGGAGGTCAGTTTCGACGAGGGTGGCGTGTCTGCGCCTTCCTTTTGCTTCGGCTTCGGGGGGCCGCTTCCTGGCCTCGGCCCTGCCTGGGGATTGCGGCCTGCTCGGCACCTCGAGGCGGATCCAGCCGCGTGTGGCCGCGACGGCGCCCTGGGAGGCCCGAGAGCGACGCCCAAGCATCCGAGGGCCTCGATCCTCGGACCCTCGAGGCCCGGCCGAGGCCTGCGGCCAGGCGCGGCCCCGAGAGGCGACTCCGAAGCCTGCCGGGGGCGCGCGCTCTGGCCGGGGCCGCGGTGGGAGTGCCGCCGTGGCCACCACTGGCGCCCCCGGGGAGGCCCACGGAGGCCCCACGTCGGCGGCGAGCCCCCCGGGGGGGGAGTCCCCCGTGGGAGAAAGGATGCCACGCCAGGAGGTCTCCCAGGCACCTTTTCCTGGCAACGGCAACGATGCGTTCGAAGAAGAAGAAGAAGAAGAGGAAGAAGAAGAAGAAGCGTGCACCAGCTAGAACTCCTGTCCTGCTTAAAAACATCGCAGCACGTTGCCGTACATGTTCGAATCGGCATGCCCAACCTCACTTGAGATGCGAGACTGATCTCCCTATGAAGCTTGATGGGGTTTCGCGCAGTCGTGCCACACTGACTGCTGACTGCTCGATGTATCGGCGATGCGGCGCGGTCCTCCTTTTGCCCCTGCTGCCTCGTCCCCCCATCTCCTCCTCCTCCTGCTCCTCCTCCCCCTCCTTCTCCTCCTCCTGCTCCTCCTCCTCCTCCTCCTCCTCCTCCTCCTGGCTCCTCCTCGGGGGCCTCTAAATATGGAGTCCCAGGACTCCACGGCATGGCCCTTCGCCTCGGCGTCGCCGCCGCGGCGCCTCGGCCCCGCTGCCGCCGCGACGCGCCGGCGGCCCGCGCGGAGAGCCCACGCTGTGGAAGCCCAGGGCTCCGCGGCGCGGCCCTCCGCCTCGGCCTCGCCGCCACCGCCTGCGGCGCCTCGGAGCCTCGCTGCCGCCGCGGCGCGCCGCGGCCCGCGCGGCGAGAGAGAGAGCTCCGAGGCCCCGATCGGCGGCGGGCCCGGGGGGCAGGGTGAGAGGGGGCAGGGCCTCCTCGGAAGGCTCCGAATCGATTGGACGTAAGAGTGACCTTTCGCCGGAGTGACCTTTGGCGCGGGCCCACTGGGGCCCCCCGATCGCCGAACGCGATACGATAGTAGCGTCTTGAGCGATTGGATTTGGCCCCACCGCGGCCCCCCCAAAGCCGCGCACCAAAGTTCACTCTTACCCAGGGTCACTCTTGCGTGTAGCCGACCGAAGTTCCCCGGCCCCCTGAGGATCAGGCGATCGCAGACATGGATCAAGGGGGCGTGGATTAGGACGGGTCCCGCTTCCATGGCGGACTTCCGCCGCCGAGCGAGGCGGCACCGGCCGCATTTGGGGGAGGGCACCTCCCGCGATCCATGGATTAGGCGACCGCGCGCGAAATCCAGGGATCGCTAATCCATGTTTGCGCGCCCCCGAGAGAAGGTTTCTGAGCCTTTCCCGAAGACATGGTAAACTGCTCAGAAGGCCGGAGGCCTTTGAGGACTCCCGCCGCCTTGTGAGAAGGCCTTCTCCTTCTCCCTTCCCCCCCTCGCTCGTCGCCGACCATGATCGAAGACGAAAAAACGCCATAAGCATAAACAGTCGGCGCTCCGCGCGGATTTTTTGGGTCCGCGCTGGGCCCCCCGACGGCGCCTCTGGCGCCGCCCCTGGCGCGCTCCGCGCGCCAGGGAGGGAAGTTCAGCGCAGACCGAAGACATCCGCGCGAAGCGCCGAGGGTTCCGGTTTATGGCGCCTTCTCTTCCTCTGCAGTCTACACGAGCACCTCGCGCCTCGAGCTTGCTCGCCCAAGCCCGCGGCCAGGTACGGCTTCGCCTCCGCGCGCGCGGCCGAGTTCGAGGCCCTCCGCGCCGCCGTGGCGGACTGCAGCCCCCCGGGCGCCGTGCCGCGGGAGGCCGGGCCCCGGCCGCGCCGGCCGCGGGGAGGTGCGGCGAGCGGCGGCGAGGATGCGCGGCGGGCCGCGGCCGACATCCTTCTCCTCCTCCTCCTCCTCCTCCTCCTCCTCCTCCTCCTCCTCCTCCTCCTCTTCGAAAGAGCTGGTGGACAAAATGAAGAGCGACTTCGGCGAGGACAGCGAGGACAGCGGAAGGTCGACAGATGCGATCTCATCGCAAGGTACCCAGTGGACGTGTGGGTGAGGGCTGGGAGGAGGGCCTTCACTGCGCAGAGCTGTTGTGAGTTGGCGCTGGTAGCGAAGAATGACGAGGAGAACCTCTACAGCGTCGCGACGGTTGCCTTGCAGGAGCTGGGTAACGAGGACTATTTCGACCCAGAGGAGGCGAAGACGGCTAAAAAACACCAGAAGCTACGGGACAGCACGAAGACCTTGCTGGACGGTACCGAGATATTCGAGAAGTACGCCAAGTCGGAGGAGGCGGCCGCCTCTAGCGGCCGCAAGTGAGAGTGCCCAGTGGAGCCCACTGGCAACGCCAAGAGGTGCATTAGCGAGGTTATCTCGGAGTGCGGCTCTAGGCAGGCGGGCAGATTCAGAGGAGGCCACCACTAGCGGGACAACCTCGGCGTGAGGACCCTAGAGAGAGAGAGCTCGCGCAGACAACGTCTTGGGACATGTTTTTTAGAGCGTCGACAGGTACGCGAGTGCAGGGAGGACTGGGGAACATGTGATTAACACGAAGGCCACCAGAGCGCAACCCCGAGGGCCCCACATCCAACATGCCGTGACTACCAGTAAGTTCTCCCTACCTACACATCGAGGGGGCAGTGCGACACGCCACCAGGGCATCAGGGTACAGCTGCGACAATGCATGCGACAACTATCGCCCAGTTCATTCTGGAACAGAAGTGAGCCGAGAGAGAGAGAGAGAGAGAAAGGTGGGCCAGCGTCGCCGACCGGCGGCGGCACCGCGGCGAGCGGCGAACGGCGACGGCGTTCGCGGTGACGGCCGTGACGGCGAACAACAAAGGTCCAGAGGAGGAAAAGGTACCCATACCAATACTTTCCACGGTTTCCCTTTCTTGGGCCTCCTGGAAGGCCCTCGTCGCCACCGCTTGGTTCGCCTCGAAATTCTGGTCAAGACGCACCCCTGGAGAGGTCCAGGGACTAGCGGTATCGGTGCGTTTTGGCTTCCCCACAGGTGACGGCGACGGCTGCGACGGCGACGACGGAGGCGATAACGACGGCCGCGACTGCGATAGCGACGGCGAGCGGCGGACGGCGGCGACGGCGAGGGGCCTGTTGAGTCCAGCCAGGACTACTTTCGGGGGCCGTCTGCGCGCAGCCCGAAGCCTCGCCAGACCATAGTTGGACCAGCCGAGCCGAGGGAGATCTGGCGTCGTCCCCATGAGCGCTGCTCCTTTTTTCCTGTGCGCGCCGATATCTCTCCATGGTCTCCCAGTCTCCCAAGCCTCAGACGTGGTGAACGTTTGTGATCCAGGTGTGGTTTGTTTCTGTGCGGCCTCCAGGGCCGCGCTTAGGTCCCAGGAAAGTCACAAAGCAGCCCCACAGAGAAGCGGTGGAGGCTCAGGGGCCCTGCGGATTGAGAACATTTTTTTGCGTCGGCGGCTAGGCAGGGGTCGTCTGCGTTGGCGGAAGAGCTAACTAAACAGGAACACCGTTGCATGATTGAAAAAACACGATGTCGGAGGTCTGGGTTTGTGTGACATCCACCCGGCTTGCTCATCTCCTGCGTCTACACGCGCTGCTTTCGCTTGCGCGTTCGCACTCGTTAGCTTTGATGGGGTGTAGTCTACAAGTCAAGCTTGCGGAGGGGGAGAGGGAAGAGGAGAAGGGCAAGGAGGATAATCACGAGGAGGGGGAGGATGACGACGACGACGAGGGAAGGGGAGGGGAAGGATGACGCAGGGAAGAGGGCTGTAAGTCTTGCTTCAGCCCCAGATCCTGACCCCCAGAGGTCCATGAAGGCTCCTGGAGACGCCGGAGGCCTCCGGACGTCTGGAATGGAACCAGAATCCTCCAAAGCCGTCCTAACATTTCCAACACGAATCTCCCGTCGATCTTCGATGATCAAGGGCTACACTGAATAGGTGAGATAAGGAAGAGGAGGAGGAGGAGGAGGAAGAGGAGGAGGAGGAGGAGGAGGAGGAGGAGGAGGGAGAGGAGGAGTAGCAGGAGGAGGAGGATCCTTCCCTCGACCGCTGCGATCGTAGCATGCAGGCGTGCGCAAACCTGACGGTGGAGGAGTTCTGGGACAAGTGCCAGGGCGGTGGCAATGCGGACCCAGACATCCGATTGCTCCAATTTTTTTGATGCGTGGGCCCGGGAGGTCCGGACCACTTCCTCAGGACAGGTTTTTCGTCCTGAATCGTTGTTTGACGCTCCCGAGGCCTGGCGAGGGCCCCCAGTGGCAGAAAATTGCCGAAATCTCGCCGCTCCAATTTTTGGGAACGTCGGATCTCTGGGGATGGGGATGGGCAGCCAACAACGACCTCGACGTCTCGTTCCGAAGGTCTCTGGGCGTCCCTGGGCCCCTCCCGGGATGCACCCCACAGAGGGGTCCCAGGACAGCTTTCGAGCTAGTCTTGCAAGGAGATTCGAACTCGGCCCGAAGGAGAAGGGGCACCGAATGAGAGGAGGGTTCAAGGAGTGTGTTTCGGCGGTTGCAACGGTGCCCCCGTTTAGGTACTGTAGGTTCGTGTCGTGTCGACCGGCGGCGACCCCGCCGCCGGCGATCAATGCTGAATGTCGCTGGCGACCCAGAATCGGTCGATGTGGAACGATCTGATGTTTCTGAAACAGCCGAACCTTCACCATTGAACGATCTCCGTGGTGTCAGAAACCAGCGCCGAAGTCGGCACGACGCGAACCTGCCGCAGGTAGCTCTTTCCGCTGGCGCAGACGACCCCTGCCTGGCCGCCGGCGCAAAAAAGCTTGTAATGTAAGTCGGTAATTATATGTCCTTCATGTTTCCTCTTTCTCTTCCTCATTCCCGCCCTCCCCTGCGAATTATTCTCCATCCTCCTCTGCCCTTTTTGCGGGAGCTCCTCCTTGGAGAGCTTTTTGGGGGCCGCATGAATGTTTTACATGGTTTCTTGGGGCCTTCCGGAGGCCCCCTCGGCGCCTTCTGAGGGCCTCTGGGGGATTCCTCGGGCCACCCTGCTTCCAACTGCGTCTCCCTGGACGGCTGGGTCACGATTTGGAATGCTTCGGGGGGCGGCCATCTTGGGGCGTCATGGGGCTCTCTTCGGGCCATCTTGGGGCCCTGTTTGGCCGTTTTGGGGGGTCTCTTAGACTGACTGGAAGCCCTTTTCGGATCGTCTTGGCGTGATTTTCGGGCCTCTTGGGCAATCTCGGACGCCTGGAAGACCAAAGAACAGGGCATTCCCAACATCATGCAACAGCACTTGGAAATCAATGTTTGACCTCTTGGGGATGCTCTCTGGGTCGTCTTCGGACGTCTGGTGGGTGTTTGGGGCCTCTTGGGGCCCTCGGGGGGCCGTTCGGCCGCCCGCTGCTTGGGCCCAGCATGGGCTTCGAGCTCCGAAAAGCCCGGGGGATCTTCGGCAGCGGCGTCCAGGGAGCCGCTGGGGCCAGGAACCCTGAGGGTCCCGTGTAGGGGGGGAGGGGGTTCGCAGGGTCCCAGATTGTTGAAACATATGAACGGGACAGAGCAAGGGAGAGAGAGAGAGAGAGGGAGAGAGAGAGAGAGAGAGAGAGAAAGATCGAATGGCCTTTGGCCTTTCCCGCCGCTGTGTTTGTTTTGTGGCTCATAGGCCTCTCGGATGTTCGTTGGGGTGTCGCGGAGGGCTTCTTGGGGACCGTTTTAAGGGATCTTGGAGACCATTTGGGGCATCTCGGGGCGTCTTGGGCGCCTCTGGGGGGCCTCTGGGGGCCTCTTGGGGGCCCCCTGGGGCCCTGGGGCCTCCTCGGAGTCTCCCGCGGGCCTCTTGGGCCGGAAGATTGGGATTGTCCGTTCGTGTTCTCCCTCTTGGTTCTTTCTTGGGGCTGATTTTTGGCCGCCTTGTGCCATTTTGGGCGCCTCTGGGGCCGTCTTAGAGCCCTCCTGGGCCGTCTTGGAGCTCTCTTGGGGGCCTCTTGGGCCTTCTTGAGGCGGTCTTGGGGGCCTCTTGGGCCTTCTTGGAGCGTCGGAAGCTCGAAAAGTGGGGGGGCCAACAGGCATTGAAAAACGTAGGGATAATCAGCGATTTGGTTTCTCAGGGCTCTCTCGGGAAGGCTCTTGGGGCTCTCTTGGGGCGCCTCGGAGGCTTCTTGGGTCTTGGACCGATCGTGCGGCGATTCGGGGCACCCTTGGACCGTCTGGGCTGCCTCTTGGGGCGCTCTTGGCCCGCCTTGGGGCCCGCTCGGGCCCGAAGAGTTCACGCGAGAGGGCGCGGTGAGCCTCTGGAGGCACGCGGGAAGCTCAAGAAGATTTGGCAAGTTTGGCTCTGGGCACTTCTAATCATCCTCTGTATTGAGGACTGAGGCGTATGGGATTAGGCCAAGGACCTGAGGACACTCAAACTCGTGCCTCAGCGTATGGTGGTGGATATACATATATCTTTACACATAAACATGTGTACACATGCGCTCGCATAAGTAGTTGTGCATACTTGTATATGTGCATGCTCATATGTGTCTATGTATTTGTACATATGCATATATGCATACATATATGTATACACAGATATGTGTACATAGATGGAACGTGTCGAGCGGGAGTCGCGTTTCTGAAGTTTGGCGTGGGTTTGTTGTGGCCCCCCTCCCAAGTTGGAGCCGCACTTCTGAATGCACTGAGGAGGCTTCGGGCGGGAACCACATCTTTGAATACATTGCGCGGAAGTCTCGGGCGGGAGCCGCATTCTTGAAGTTTGCCGCGGGTTTGCCGCATTGGGCCTCGATGTCGGGGTTGTTTACCATAGTGCTTGTTTCGTTTGTTTGGGCGTGCAGGGGACAAACGGCGCCATTCAATACAGAGGAGGCACGGAGAGGAGGCTCGGTGGACGATTCAAGACGAGCTTGTTAGCATGCATCGATCGCACAGGCCAGCACTTCTCGTCTCGAAAATCCTTCCAAACCGCACGTGCTTCACATCTGGCTACCTGCCTGGGCAGCTACATGATTATTCAATGTGTAGAGAAAACCAGCCAGTTCAAGTTCAAGCCAGATTCTTCAGCGAGGTGGAATAGAGAGCAATTCCATCAATTTCTGACGCCAGCGCGTGGGGCCCAAAACAGTTCATGCGTGCAACCGGTGTCACAAGGCCATGTGCGGGTGGAGCCCCATGTGCGTGGAGGCCCGCGCGTGCAGAACATCATGTGAGTGGATCCCCAAGTATGCGGCCCCATGTGTGTAGCCCCACTTGCGTGGAGCCCCTTGCGTGTGGAATGCCCCATGCGTGCTGGCGCAGGGGGGGGGGGGCAGAGCAGGAGGGGGGGGCGGGAAGGAGGCGCGAGCGAGGAGGAGGAGGAGGACAGGGAGGACGAGAAGCAGCTCCGAGCAGCAAGACATCGACCACGACGACGACGACGACGACGACGACGACGACGACGACGACGACGACGACGACGACGACGACGACGACGGCGCGCGGGCCGGGAGGCAGGACTGGGCCTAAACGTTGTTTTGTTGGACTTCGGCTACGTCTTGTTTTTCGTTCTGGCAGGGAGGCACAGGAAAACAGGCATAGAGCAGAACGAGAAGCACAACGAAAACGAAACAAAAAACAGCGTTTAGGTCCAGCCCTGATGGTGTCTGGCCTCCTCGCCTGTGCTCCTCGTCATCGTCGTCGTCGCCGCCGCCGCCGCCACCGCCGTCGCCGTCGCCGTCGTCGTCGTCGTCTCGGGCGCTCCAGGGGGGAGCGGGAGGTACGAGCGCAGGCGCCTGCCCTGCATCATCTCGGGGGTCCCGGAGGCGGAGGGCTGGGCGGCGTGGACCCCCCCCCGGGCGCGCGCGCCTCGCCGGCCGGCGGAGGCCGCCGCGGGCCGCGTGTTCATGGGGAGCCCTGCAGCGGGGGTCAATGCAAGTTCCTCCTCCCCCCCCTCCTTTCGCCTCCTCCTCCTCCTCCTCCTCCTCTCCTCCTCCTCCTCCTCCTCCTCCTCCTCCTCCTCATCCTCCTCATCCTCATCCTCATCCTCATCCTCATCCTCATCCTCATCCTCATCCTCCTCCCTCTCCTCCTCCACCCTCTTCTCCGTCTCCCCCCTCTTCTCCTCCTCCCTCTCCTCTTTCTCCTCCTCCTTCTCCTCCTCCTCCGGCAGGGCTCAAGAGACGGGGGTCCATGCAAACGAGTGTCAGCCAGAGCACCAGATCTTGCAGGATCCTGCAGGGCCAGGGTCGCATTGGCCCGGGCTTGGGTGCAGGATCCTGCAGGATTTTCCCTGACCCTGCAAGGCCCGACTGACCCGGGTCTGGATTTACCCGGGTCAGAAGATCCCGACATGTGCCAGATGAGGGCCGATGTCGGTTACGGCAGCCCGTCTTCTGCTTCACAGTCGGGCCCACCTCTGAGTGGCCTTCTCTTCCCCTCCCCCCCATCGGCCGCCCGCTCTGCCCTCTTCCCGCTCTTGCATGCTGGCCAAGTCGCTTTTCGGCGCCCTCGTCTAGCGCTCCTTCGCTACTCTGCCTCGCCGCCAGCGGAAGTAGTGCCAGAGGAGGGCCGATGTCGGTCTTGGCCGGCCCGGTTCGATGTCGGTGTCGGCAGCCCGTCGTTTGCTTCACAGTCGGGCTTCCCTTTTGTCTTCAGAAGGTACCCATACATCTACCCTTCGCCCGGTTGTCTCTTCTTGGGCCTCCTCGGAGGCCCTCGCCGCCACCGCTGGATTCGCCTCGAAATTCTAGTCAGAGCGCACCCCAGGAGAGGTCCGGGGAGTAGCGGTATTGGTACCTTTTGGCTTCCCCGTGTCTGCTTCACAGTCCTGAGGCGCTCCGCCTTCCATTCCCTCGTTTTGCAAGCACCGAAGGGTCGCCAATCGCGCGCTCGTCTGCCCACGCGTCTTTCCGGATGCTTAGCTCTGTGGTGTCGGGGGTGGACAGACCTCCTAACAGTGACACGTCGATTAGTGAATTGTCCGTTTTCGATTCTCGAGAGGGCGCCGTGGCCGTTATTTTCCAGGCTTGCGCCCGCCAGGTTTGGGCCCGAGGTCGTTTTCACTAAACCACGTTTTACTAAAGGGAGGTCTGTCCATCCCCGATGGTGGTGGTGGTGGATTCGATGCCGACGATGCTCCGACGATCCGGTGCGGCGCGCTCTTTGTGCATCCTGGCGCAGCCGTTTCGCCGTCGAGCCCGTGCAGGTGCAGCCCGATCCGATGCACACGTCGGTTCGATCCGATTTGCCGGCTCGATGCTGGCTGATCTTGCGGCAGTTGGCGTTCGGAGGGCCTTCTCGTCGCCACGGCCGAACGCGGCGCGGAGAGTTGGGGCATTCGACCCCGTGAGGGGTCCAGGGTCCGATGTTGAGCTGTCGCTGTCTCAACTCGCGCTGAGGCTCCAAGAGGAAAAGGTTCATATCATGGTAGGGCGGGCCCAAGACCCCCAATGGGCGCGCCCCAGAATCGCCAGTGCCCCATCGCCCCTCTTGTCACGGCGTACGCCGAGCGTGCGCGCGAAGGGATTGTCCGGCGTGCGGCGCGCACCGTCGTGCTTCAGGCACCGCGCGCAGCTGCGATACGGTGGGGGCGCTCGCCAAGCTGAGGAACGCGCCCAGGAGGCTGCAGACCCGGGAGGATTCCCTACCGGATGTGGGCGGCGGTGATATCCATGGCCAGGCCTCGATTGGAGCCCCTCTGGCTTCCATGACCCTGGATTCTTGATCGAAGGTGTCCTTATATCCAATGCCCCCACCGTATATCTCGGGTATAGCCAGGACCCCGGATAAGGGGACCCGGTTAGTGGTAGGGCCCTGGGGCCCCTCAATTGGCCAGAATCACTAAGCCAGGTTTACCGTAACTGGTGTTGTTCGAGCGACGGCAGCTCCGGTCCGTGGAACTGGGACGGGGGGGCGCCCCCGGTACACATCACTCAACCAGGTTCCACTCAAGCCCAGTTCTACCAACGCCCGGATATCGCGTGCCTCGGCTGGGCGCGGTCCTGGGGCGTCCTGCGGCCTCGCGACGGCGGCCGAGGCCGGGGCCCGCGGGCGGGCGGGGCGGCGCGGGCTATGCCCGCCGTGAGCGGGCGGGCGGGCGGGCGGAGGGCCTGGCCTGGGGCGGAGCGGTGGGCGCCCCCGTCCCTGGCCCCGCGCACGCTGTCGTTTGCGGCGTGCTCGAGTTCCCTGCGTGGCACGCGCGCCCCGCGCGCGCTCGCAGTGTTGAGAAAAAATATGCGCTGAACCGTACCGTGGCCTCCGCAGGGCCCGCGCGGCGCTGTCCCTGCGGGCCTGCGTCGTGGGCCCGAGGGGCCTGCGCGTGGGCTCCGTTGGGCCTGGGGTTGAGTCGGGCGTGTCCCTCGACAGGGGGAATGCAGTGGGGGCGCGCATCGAGAAACCATCTGCGTTTCGCTCCGCGCGCTGCGCGGCGACTTCCCGCGGCCGTTGAAGGAGCTGCTGCGTTCAGAGTGCTCCAGGTTTCCCCTCCGGTGCACTTCGCACGCGGGTTTTCATGGTTGGGCATCTTGCGAGGGCTTCTCGCGGCCGCGCTCGCACTGTAGCCAAACATAGTTTCAAAAGTAGCCTGGGGACGATTTTTCGATTATTTGTCGTCAAAAATCTGCCTGTAGGGGGACATGCCCGACCCTAAGCGTGGGGCCTCGTGCCCATGCTCGGTCGGGTTCACGGGCGCCCTTCCCGACGCGGCCGCCGTCGGTCCCTCTCAGGAGGCGCTGTGCCCAAAGGCTCCAAATTGCGCCTGGAGGGGTGCGCCCCCCAAAAGGTGTGTTGGAGCTGCGTGCTGTGCCCAAGGTTTAAGTCGGGCCTGTCCCTCTACAGGAGGAATGTTCAAAGTAGTCAAAAATAGTCTGGGGACGATGTCTTGTTTAAGACTATGTGTTGACAATGTTGGGGTATGTTTGGAGTATGTTTTATGTTTCGCCCAAAATCCGCCTGTAGGGGGACACGCCCGACCTAACCCAAGGCTGGTTGGTATGCGAGGATGTCCCGCGCCGTTTGCCCAGTTTCGATTGGGGTGCACTTTGGGGCACCGAGCTTTTTTCCTTGGTGCACAACCAGGTTTTTTCGGGGCACGATTTTGGGCACGCCGCCTGCCAGTGCAGGCATCCGTTCCGGGCACCCTACGGAATCCGTTTTGGGCGCGCAGGGGGTCCATTCCGGGCACATGCCTAGCCATCCGAACGTTGGATTGACAGGGCCCCGTGTCGGGGCAGCGTTGTGGCGTGTCGCGATGGCGCCGTGTCGTAGTGGCTTCGCTTCGGGGCCCAAGGGGCCTTCCTTCAGATGTGGCCTTGAGGGTATTGGGCGAACAGGAATCACGGGCCAGGAAGGCATCTTGCAAAGAAGTGACGTGGCCACGATAGCATCGGGCAAACCAGGAAAGCAATCGCGAAGCATACTGCGTGTGAGCAAACATAGAACATGTTCGGGCGCCGTTTGGAGCACAATTTGGGCACCGTGCGGGGTACTGTGACTGTCTTGGACCGACCCCGAGGTGACCAGTAGAAGCGTCTAAATGAACGTGACTTTTGACCCTCGGTGTCGGAGCTGTGGATCCCAGCGCAGGGTGGGGCTGGCCTGGCTTTCTCACGCGTTTTCGCCAGAAGAGGTTGGGCCAGACAGCGTCCACAAAGACATCCCGAAACCTTCGATCTTCGAACCTCGACCCTCGATGGGATAGTGAAAGGGGGGATTACGAAATCTGCTGCGTGCAGCTGGTTTCGGCCCCGCCGCCGGGCCCTTTCCTCGATACATGGGCGCCTCCCGGCGCCGGGAGACGCTGGGAAAATCAGCTACGTGAACTGATTCTCTACCGTACCCTTTGCTATCCCCTCCTTTCGTTCCCCCCGACTATGGCGTAGATCTCCTCTATTCGCACAGTCGGATGTCGAGCAGGGTAATGATCATGAGAGGGTACGCGATGCTTGGTAGAGCACGGCATGGCATGGCGTAGAAGAGCACGGCAGAGCGTAGCATGCCATAGCATGGCGTGGCATTGCGCAGTGAAGCATTGCATCGCAAGGCATTGCTTGCAGCGCAAAGCATGGTATCGCACAGCGGCGCAGAACACAACACCGCACAGCATGTCATAGCATGGCGCCAGGTTCTTTGGGGAGTAAGTGGATCGTCTTCGAGAAGTTTGGGCCGGTCTGGAGTCGTGGTGTCATGTCTAGCTCTCTTTGGGCTCCCCGAAAAGCTCCACACAAGGCGGGGCTGATGGAGAGCACCCGCTGGCTTTGCTTCCAACGTCGCCCTCTCAAAGCAGAAACGGGGCTCCCGCTTGATACTTTCTGAAAACGACGACGCCCCCAAGTGGGGGGTGGCTTCTGCAGCCCAAACAATCAACGAATCGACACCGAGTGTGTAATCACTTCCGATGTTTGTTTTATTCTGGGGGCTATTTTCTAGATTTTGGAGCCTATTTGGAAGGAAGGCCAGCGCGGCAGCGTGAGCACGATTCGGAACGAGCAGACGCGCGGAAATGAGGCCAGCGCTGCAGCGGGAGCACGATTCGGAACGAGCGGAAGCCCGTAAATGACGCCAGCGCTTCGGCGGGAACAACATTTTGAACAGCAGACCAAAGCGAAAACCCGTTTCCCGGGAATATTGCGTGTTTAAATCAATACGCGGAGGGGGGCCGAACATCTTCTGGACGTCATCAGGGGGGAGAGGAGAGTAGTATTCATATTGTGCAATTGTGGAGGACGAAGATAAGGAGGAACAGGATACATCGGACAAGGGTGGAAGAGGCCGAGGAGGACGGGACGAGGCAGAAGGGGAAGGCGGAGAAGGAGCAGGAGGAGGAGGAGAAAGAGGAGGATGAGGAGGAGGAGTTCTGGCATTGTGTCCCAGCTTGAGGTGGGAGTGGCGTGATTTCTCTTTCGGCGCAGGAGGAGGAATAAGGAAGGATAAGGAGGAAGGATGAGGAGGAAGGCGGGGAGTCACAGTGAGCCTTGGCTCTGGACCCCAGGACGAAGTGGGAGTGGCCCGACTTCTTTCGGCGCTTCGCGGCGGCCCGGCTGAAGGTCGGCAAGGACGACAATGGCGCCGCCGTGCGCGTGAGGCCCCGTCCTCGCTACCCCCCCTTCTTCCCCTCCTCGCCCGTACATTCTCCCTCCTCTTCTTCCTCCTCCTCCTCCTCCTCGGAGGAGGAGGAGGAGGAGCAGGAGCAGGAGGAGGTGGAGGAAGAGAGTTTTTGTTTCCAACTTTCGGCCTCCAGGGTCTCTCGCCTGGCCCAAGGACGGTCAAAGAGTCACTCGGGATGAGAAGCGGGCCCCAGGGAAGTGGTCCAGACCGCTGTAGGCCCGCGTCGTGAAAAATCGCGACGTCGGTGGTCCAGATCCGCCTCCTCTTCCTTCTCCTCCTCCTCCTCCTCCTCCTCCTCCTCCTCCTCCTCCTGCTCTTCCTCTGTTTCCTTCTCCTCCTCCTCCTCCTCCTCCTCCTCCTCCTCCTCCTCCTCCTCCTCCTCTCCTCCTCCCCCCCCCTCCTCCTCGTCACTCTCCTCCTCCTCCTCCTCATCCTCCACCTCCTCTTTTTCCTCCTCCTCCTCCTCCTCCTCCTCCTCCCTCCCCTCCTCCTCTCCTCCTCTCCTCCTCCTCCTCCTCCCTCCTCCTCCTCTTCCTCCTCCTCCTCCTCCTCCTCCTCCTCCTCCTCCTCTTCCTCCTCCTCCTCCCCCCTCAGGGTGGACGACTTCGAGCGCTACATGCGGGCCGACTGCGCTGGCGACGACAGGTGGCGCTGCTGCTCCGCTTCGTCTTCGAATTTGCGCCAGGGCCCTCGAATGCAGTCTTCAGGGGTCGTGTGGGGATTGCCCCTCCCCGACACCTCCGGCGATGTCGGAAATGTTGTCCCGGAGGTTTCTTGTAGTTTCCGGTGTCCTGGGGCGTTCTGCGGTCCCCAATGCCGTCAATCAAGAGACAGGCCCACGGATGGAACGCCAGAAAGCAGTCTGTTGGAGGTTTGGATTCGCCCCCCCCCCCCCTCCCAGTAGCTGTAGGGTGCGGATGGATCACCAAAAAGCAGTCTGTTAGAGGTCTGGCTCCGGCTACCCCCTCCCAGTAGCTGATGAGTCCCTTCCACTCTCCTGCGATCCCTCGACTCTACTCTCCTGCTCCTTCCGCTCCTTCCCCCGATCTCATTGCGCGTGTGGTGAGTTTGTTTCACCCGCTCCACTACCGCAGGTAGGGGGCCACATGCGAACCCTACCCCTACCCCCCACGACTTCTGAGGGGGAGGGTGGGGTTCACTTCGCTCGGGAGCTCCCGAACGGAGTGACCCCCACCCTCCCCCTCAGAAATCGTGGGGGGTAGGGGTAGGGTTCGCATGTGCCCCCCTATTGTTTCACCCGCTCCACTACCGCAGGACGTCTTTGTCGGGGGACGGGGGGCCAGGAGACGCGGCCGCAGGCCGTGTTGCCTTCGGCTCTGCTCGCATGCAGTTGGAACCAGCAACGCCTCGAGCCCCGTTCCAGCCTCGCGCCACGGGGTAATCCCATTCACCCGAGCACTCTCTTTGGGCGGAGGGCAGATGGTGAAAGCTGAAATGCCGCCTCGATAGATTCTCGAGGCTTTTGAATCTGCAAAGGGTGAATCACAAGACGGATTGGTTTTCGAGGTGCAAAAGCTCATATGGATTTCACCCTCAGCCCCCCACCCAAAGAAAATCCGAGCATTTTCTTTGGGTGGAGGGCAAAGGGTGAAATCTGGAATGCCGTCTCGCTGGATTCTCGAGGCTTGGGAATCTGTAAAGGGTGAATCACGAGACGGATTGCTTTTCGAGGTGCAAAAGCTCATGCGGTTGGGGCGTTGGTTAAGGAACGCGCCCAGGATGCTGCAGACTCTGGAGGAGTCCTTATCTAGTCCGGGCGGCGGTGATATCCATTGCCAAACTTCGATTGGAGTTCCACCGGCCTCCAGACCCTGGATTCCTTACCTAAGTCTGGACGCCCGAGATGGGCACGGGAAGAATGGGCACGATGCCCAACAACAATTCCTGTTCATTTTGAACAAGACTCGCTGTCCGCGCCGCCACGGCCGGTGTTTATTAATCGCTTCGCTCATGCTGCCGGCCCTGGAGCCCTCTTTAGGGTCTCTTGGGGGCCTCTTGGGGACCCCTTGGGAGTCTCTTGGGGCTCCTTGGCGGCGTTTTGGAGGCCCCCAGGGCCTCTTGGGGGGCTCTTGGGGGTAGTCGATTGCGGCTCCCCCCCTCGGAGGCCACGATCCTCGTGAGGGGTGTCGAAAAATACCCTCCCCTGGAGTGGTCTGGTGGCTTCTCCCGGGCTTCTCTCGGGACCTTGCCGGGGTACTTTTCGTCCGGAGGCTCCCAGGGGCCGCTCCGCGCGCGCGAACTAGAAATATTGTTAACACGTTACCGGAGATCTTAGCACGCCTCTGGCCCGTTGGGCCGGCGAATTTGAGACAGAAGGCCGCCTGCCCAACAGCGGCCGCTGTTGGTTCGGGACAACATTTGTTGTTGGGCATGTTGCCCATTCTTTCGGTACCCGTTTCGGGTGTCCAAACTAAGGGCTCCTTGTCCAATGCCCCCACCGTGTGGGTCTCACCCGGAGCCCCCCGCACCTCACGAGCATGCCCCGGCAGAGCCCCGAGCCCCGCTCTGCTCGCTCGAGCCCCTCGCGCGCCGCGGGGCAGTCCCGTTCCTGGCTCCCGGGCGGGCCCCCAGGGGCCACGAGCCCTCCCCCCTCCTCCTTTCCCCCTCCTGCAGTGGGAGAGCCCATGCCAAGAAACACCCCGCTTGCCTCCGGGGTGGGGTTTCTTGGGTGTCGATGCTTCTGCTGTGGAGTACGTACACACTGTTGATTTCTAATCCTTCGAAGGTTCTTTGATTCTTTGGAGCGCCAGGATCCTCTCGTTTCTAATTGTTCTATCCTGGGCCTCTTCCTAGCCACTAGGGGGCCAGGAACACTCAGAAACGAACACAATTAGAAATGAGCACGATTAGAAATGAACGACGTGTAGCGTTCCCACACCAAAAACAATGGACTTCCTGGGGTTCCAGGGTTGGGTTTCTTGTGGAAGGTGTCTTGTGGACTGGCCTCGACTGTGCCCGTTGCATCCTCTCGGGCCCTGGAGCCGTCAAACACTGACCCGGGACGAAGAGCTGTGGGGACCGGGGGCGACCAGTGCGATGTTTACATATTTTTGGGGGCTCATAGCAGCATGGTGGATGCGTGGATCTGCGCCGCAACTCCTGAGTTTCGATTGTGCTGTTTTTCAGAGTGTGGTTCCCAGAGCTCTCGATACCATCCCTGCATCCCGAGCCGTATTGTACCATGGTCCCAGGGCCCAAGAACAACCTGAATTCCGAAATCCAGGAGAAATACCTGAATTGAGATTGTTCACAATGTCATAGGTCTTGGGTTGCCAGCCCACCCATTCTGCGCCTTCCCCCCACCCCCCTCCTTCCCTCAATCAACCCTGCAGCCCCGTGTACCTGTTCGACAACAAGTTCCAGGGCGTGGGCGAGGAGTTCCTCAAGGACGCACACGTGGGGGGGAGGATGGGTCATTGGGAGCAAAAGGAGGGGACCTTAGCACAGGAGGAGCTGCGAAGCGAGCGCAGTGAATTGCTGAATGTCCCGCAGGGTTGGCAAAAACTAGGTGGGCACTGCCGCCTTTTTCGTTTCCCGTTTTATTCGTGACGGTTTCCATCGGAAAGCTCATTCTAGAAACAGTGTTTGCACTGAGGGCCAAGGTGGGAAACGCCCATGCATCGTCGACCTGGGCTTGGAAAACCCACCCTGACCCTGCCTAGAAACGGGAGGCTTCGCGATGGGTGGGCCGTTGCCGATTTGCTGCATGTGTACTGCCGATTGCATGGCAATATTTCCTCCCGCGGGCCAGTGATCGTGAACGACAAACATTTTTTAATTCGGCAACGAATGATAGTCTCAAGATGACACAAAAACTATAATGAATTCATGAATTCACGTGCGCACACGGCCAGTGACCTGACCACTAGCGGTGCGAGCGGGAGCCACGGCTAAATGATGGCTGTGCCCAGCTCGTTGCGCTGACCGCCGCAATTCCCGGTCAACCTCATCGAGCTTCGCAACCTCGGCGTCCGGGAGTCGAGGGCAATGTGAAAGAATCCAATCGCGACACCTCGGGCGCCTCGCGGCCTCGCGGGCCGGTCCTTTGGGCCGCGATCCCGCGGACACGGCGCGTGTGTTTCGCGGGTGCCCCGCGCGGAAGGTCTCCGTGCGACCGCGTGTCCGCGGGATCGCGCCCCAGAACCCAGACCGCGGGGGCGCGGATACGGATACGTCTGCCAGTCGTGACTGGAGCCATCGCGCTGCCAGCACTGCTCCCAGAAAGTTTGCCAGTTAGGCTCGTCGTCGTCGTCGTCGTCGCCCTCCTCGTAATCCTTGCCGTCCTTGACTGTGGCCTCATCGCCCACCGCCGAATGCAACGAGTGGTCGCCGATTGTAGTCTGCTGGAGCCGACCCCGCGGGCGAGCGCGTCCTCCCCATCGCCGTCGTCGTTCTAACACTCGTCGTCGTCGTCGTCGTCGCCGTCGTCGTCGTCGTTCTCCTCGTTTCGGCGGCAAGCAAGGGGAGGGAGGTGAGAAGGAGAAGGCCCTCTCAGAAGGCGGTGGGACTTATCAGAAGCCCTCGCGCCTTCTGAGGGTAGCCCTTAGGATTGATGCCGAGGCCTCTGGATCATCATAGGAGTCGGCCCAGACCAGATTCGTGGAACTTCCTGCTGTTCTGCGAGCTGAGTCATCCCACTGGATCGTCTCATTCGGCCGCCGTCTCTCTCATCACCCCTTGTCGGCCAAATTCACACGCCCGTTGCGCCGCAGTGGTTTGAGGCTGTTTCTTTGCAGGAGTCGGTTCCTTGCCAGGGGACTCTGGCATTCCCTCGGGATCCAGGTGTTAATACAACGCTCGTTTTTGTGGAGAAGTATGGTCGCGACTTGAGTCGGATAACAGGGCATCGAGCCGTGGCACGTACTGAGGCCTCCCAGAGCATGCTCCAGCAGGTTTTCTTCGGATATTGTATTTGGTTCGCTGGTGATCTAGCTGCCCTACTCATCGTCCCTCTCCCTTTTGGAGGAGGCGCATTCGTCCAAAAACGACCCATTTCCCCCAGTTGGGTCTTGCCTAAGGGGTTTGACGTGTCCATGAAAGAAGCCAGTGGGTGCGGGGCTCTTGGTCAGAGGCTTTCCTCGGGGTTGCCCAAGCAATACCAAGCAGTACCAAGCATTGCAAAGCAATGCAGAGCAATGCCAGTCAACGCCAAGCAATGCGAACCAATGCCAAGCAACCCAAGCAGCGTTTCTAAGCAATGCTAGGAAGCGTCGAGCAACGCCAAGCAGTGCAAAACCAGTGTCGAGCAATGCCAAGAATTGCCAACCAACCCCAAGCAACGATTCCAAGTAACGCAAAGCTATGCCAAGCAGTGCTTTGCATTGCACTGCTTGGCATTGTAATGGTTTGCATTGCTCAGAACTTCTTTGCTTTGGGGGAAGGAAGGCCAACAATTCAGGTCGCGCCGGGTTCATGTGTTGTTGGTTGAGATGCCAGGAGTTTAAGGTGCCGTCGTACTTTCCCGACGACTACATGGCGATGGCCGGTGCCGCTCCGCTCCGCTTTCAGGATGTCGATGCGGGCAGGAGGGCAGAGGATGGAGGAGGACGGAGGGAGGGAGGGGCACGGACGACCACAGCCACATACCAGACAGGGGGTGGGAGCATGACGGGATAAAGGTATCCAACTGCATTCCGCTCCCCCCGTCTCCTCCTCCAACTGCCGCCGACACGACGCGTAGACGCCACTGGCGTCAGCCCACGGGAACTGCCTCAGGAGGCGAATCGTAGGGAAACGAAACATAGGGGGCCACATGCGAACCTGACGTCAACTTGTTCACCCCGTGCATCTCGACTCCTTCCCCGGGGCCGAACGCCGAAGAAACGGGCCTTCCCAGTGTTCTCGCCACGCCAGAGGGTCTGCGTCCTCCTTGCTTCCCAGAGATCCGACGCTCCAACAAAAATTGGAGCGGCGGGATTTAGGCCGTTTTCGGCCTCTGGGGGCCCTCGCCGGGCCTCGGGAGCGTCAAACAACAACTCAGGACGAAAAACGGTCCTGGGGAAGTGGTCCTCCCCCTCCTCCTCCTCCTCCTCCTCCTCCTCCTCCTCCTCCTCCTCCTCCTCCTCCTCCTCCTGCCCACGCATCAAAAAAATTGGAGCAGCCGGAGGTCTGGGTCCCTTCCCCATCGTCACCTCCTTTGGGGCCGTCTCCAGGCTGCATCCCCTCTCCCACAGGGCCCCCTCTCAGTGGGAAGTCGCTCTTGTCGACCACGTAGATCCCAACGTTCTTGTTCGTCTCGCAGGTCGGTGAAACTTTGGGTCCGATGGTTCTTGGCTTCACTTTGCCCTTCCCCCCGCGAGGTGAGGACGACCGGCCGCCGTACCGGTGGATCGGCGTCGGGCCGCGCCGGAGCGGCACGATCATGCACACGGATCCGCTGTGCACGAGCGCCTGGAACACGCTGATCCGGGGGAGGACTCCGAGGGCATCCAACATTTCGGCGGTCGAGGGTCGAGGATCGGGTTTTCGTCATGCGTTAGGCCTCCTATCGGCCCGGGGGGGCCTCCCGAAGAGCCTGCAGCGGCCTTCTGGCCGCGCAGGGGGATAGGGGACAGTGGAGGGTGGAGGGCTGGATTTCGGGCGGGCCGAACATGTTTGACCCCAACGTTCTCTTTTCATGTCTGCCTCCAGGGACCCTCTCTGGCCCCTGTGACAATCGAGCGCTGTCCTGGGACGGACACAAAACCTGGGCACATCAAGTAAGACCACGGGAAGAGTACATAGATTGCATGTCCTGGGCAGCTGGCGCTTCTGAATAGCATGACCTTCGGAACCTTTCCCCAGGGTCCGCTGGTCATCCCCAGTCGCTGTTTGCTTGCTGCGAGGCCCGAGGCCTGCGCACAGATGCCAGCAAGGAGCACAAAGCTGCAGCTTCGAGCTGTCCGACGATGTCGCGGTTGGCGGCACGCTCACGGGGGTGGCGCGAAAGGTAGGGCGTTTCAAGAAGGCGGTAGACGGCCCCACCCCACCCCTTGTGCTCGCCACCAATGCTTGGACGCCCCCTGCCTTCGACTAGCCCTTCCAGGAGGCCTCCGAGTCCTTCTACGGTCGCCCCGTGCCTTCGAAGGAGCTTCCCGACTGCTCGGAAGGCCCCCCCCCCTCGCGCAGACCCCATCTTCGGCAGCAGATCGTGGGAGCCTCGTGTGCTCTCGGAAGTGCGTTTCGTAGGCTGCACTCGCGTGCGCCAGCTTGGCGTCTGGCAGTCGATGAGAAAGCGACCAAGCAGCGTCGACTTAGAGTCGATGTAGCCTCGATGTGGCGTCGATCAGCGTCGATTCGCCAGAGCCAGCAAGACGGCAAAGGGGGGCTCCCATGAGTTGCCACCCCGCTCTGCGCACCCCCAAGTGAACCCCACCCTCCCCCTCAGAATTCGTGGGGGGTAGGGGTAGGGTTCGCATGTGGCCCCCTACCAAAGGGCCACCCCCTTTGCGCCCCAAAAGGGGCACGACCGGGTGCGCGGTCCTCCCTCCATCCCCACCCCCCCCATGTCTCGCCCAAGAAGGGCGGAGGAGGGCAGGGGAGAAAACACGCAGACACAATTCATCGGCGACCCAGGAAAATATTGGACAGTGCGGGGAGGGAAGACGACAGCCCAGAAAATATGAGAAAATATAGGGGATCCTGGGATTTGTGTGTGTGTGTCGATCTCTTTGTGTGTGTGTGTGTGTCGATCTCTTTGTGTGTCGATCTCTTTGTGTGTAAGGAGAAGGGCACGGGCGTCCCAGAAGAACCGGCTTCGAGCGGACACCGTGCAGGCGAGACGTGGTCGCCCCCGCTCCCTCCTCCCTCCTGCGGAGATCGGGGACAGCGGTGGGGGATGGGGTAGGCAGAGGAGGGATGGGCATTCGGCTGGGCTGAGGCATGTAAGTTCGAGGTCGGCTCGGGGACTGTACCCTAATGATTTTCGTGTTTGTTGGATATCATTGTGCATCCTGGGGGAGGGTACCCTCGAATGTTTTTCAGTTTGGCCGGCGGAGGGTCTCATGTTCTTGAACGATTTGTTTCTGTCCTAGGTCCAGCTGTAGGGGTGGATGCATCGACCCCCAATCGCCAATTGATCGCCGATGCGGGCCCGATAACCCAACCTGCCCAGGAACGTGCGCATTCACTGTCGGGGCCCCATCGCCGATCTGTCGGCGATGTGTCGCCGATTCCAGGTTGCTGCACCCTTCCATGCCAGTCCCCCATATCGTTGAGGGGTGATACGGAGTATGATAAGGAGGAGGAGGAGGAGGAGGAGGAGGAGGAGGAGGAAGAGGAGCGGCAACAGCAGGAGCTCCCAGAGGCCCAGCAAGAGCCAACCACGTCCCAAAGCTCACCCTCGCCTTCCCTCGGCGGCGGAGGAGGAGGAGGAGAGGGGAGCCGGCCGAGTAGGCCGAGGGCGCATCGTTTCCAGCGCGGGCCCCGGCTGCCCCTTGCGGCCCGTGAGGATCGGGGGTCCCCGAACGGGGTGGTGACCACACCGTGCGGTGAGTAGGTGGGGATTCGGGGTCACCGCACGGTTTTGGGACTCGGGTCGTTCTCCGAGGACGTCTCGGGCGACTGGGGCATCCGAGGTCCCAAAACCTTGCGTTGACTGACCGTGCGGTGAGGTCTTGAGGGATTTCGAGGTCACCGCACGGTCTGTCACCGCACCGTTTCGGGACTCCAAAGAGGAAGCTGTGGCTCCTGCTGCGGCCCAGCACCCCGAAGAAGATCGCAAAGGGCAAGGACGTGGCAGCCCCAGCATCGTCGTCGCTGTCGTCGCGTCGTCGCGTCGTCGTCGTGCTCGCGAAATCGATGCTCTCGGACGCTGGCAACCCTGTTTTAAGCTGCTGGAGAACTCCAGAAGCCTAAGGAGATTGCCGGAGACACCCGCGGACCATACGTCTCCAGAAGTTTCCAGAAGCCTCCCGAGGTCACTGGAAGTCCTACTGGAGGCTTGCAGAAGCCTGCGCGGGACCAGAGAGACTTCCTGAGACCTCCGCGCATGGCCCTGGAGGTCGTCGTTCCCGTCCTCCACCGCCTCCCCTCGTCATCCCCGCCAGGCCCAAGCCCGTCGGACGCCCTTTTTCAGTGCAACCGTCTCCTCCACGTCCTCGCCCTGTCGATGGAATTCCCCTCTCGTTCGCCGTGCGCTCGGGCTCCCATGGCAGTGTGCAGCTCGCAGGAGTATTCCGTCCCCGAGGCCAGTGGGCGAGTGGCCTTGTCGCCCCGCTCTCTACACCAAGCTCCACGTAGCCACTAACTGGACACATTGACGAGCTCCACATGGCCACGTAGATGCAGAAGAAGCCTGCTGCGAACTGCAGCAGCCGCGCCTGGTGCCGCTTCTGATTGTCAGACGCGATTGGACCGTACCTCTGCTGCGTCTCCCGCATGGCGAGGCTACCCGACACGCCGCTTCCGGATTACGGCCGCCCCTCCCCATGGTGCTGATCCTCTTCCGCCTCTGCGCCCGCTGCCTGCTGCTCCTCCTGCCCATCCCTCATCGCTCCTCGGCTGCACGGCTGCGTCCGCGGGCCATGCCACGCACAGCAGCAGACGGCACATGTGGGCACACAGGGCACCCTCCCCCCTCCCGACGGCGCGCCGAGGGGGTAAGTGAGAGGGCGCTGAGGAGGCCGCGGCCTAGAATCACCCGCCCCTGCGTAAATTCCAAAGTAAGTCGTGCCCTAGCAAAGCCGACACGTGGCCGGCCCCTCTGGGGCCTGGCGCGTTGTTTTTTCCACAGAGCCGGCAGCTTTTTTCCTGCGTGCGTGAGTAGCTTGAGCTCTGTCGCGCCAGAATGTCGCGCGCGAGGCCAGCGCCCTCAGGGTGCGGGACCTTTGGAGACCGCCGGGGGCTCCCTGGGAACCTCCGCGGGAGCCCTCCGGGAACCTCCGAGGGTCAGGCGATCGTAAACATGGATCAAGGGGGCGTGGATTAGCGACGGGTCCCGTTTCCGTAGGAAATCGCGGATCTCCGCCGCCGAGCGAGGCGGCACCGGCCGCATTTTGGGGAGGCATTCTCAGAAGGCGGCGGGGCCTCTCGGGAGCTCTCCGGCCATCTGAGACGAGTCCCCTCGCTGTTTTGGAGGGGGCTCTTCTGAGAAGGCCCGCGCCCTCTGCCTGCCCCCCCGAGCTTAGATCGGGCATGCCCTTCTGCAGGGAAAGTATTCAAACATTGTCAAGACATAGTATGAAGACGATTCCTCGCGCCATGCTGAACATAACGCAGAACATATTATGGGAATTGTCTTCCGGGAGATTGGCCGAGCGAACATACAATGCACCCATCAACAGGCTTCAGGAAACAAATCCCCAACTTTCGTGGAGTTTGGATCTAGTTTTTGGACGAGAATCTGGATTGGACCCTCGGCTTTTTCTTGGGGCTTCTTTTTTCGTAGCGCCTGCGTGCATCTCGACCTGGACCGCTGTGTAATAAAACCCTTCGACTGAAGTCCATTGTCTTAGCTGAGAAGGTTCTCAACTCTCAGTAGTCCGAGAATTCTCTTTGAGTGGAGGGCAGAGGGTGAAATCTGAAATGCCGTTTCGATGGATGTTCGAGACTTGAGCCTGCAAAAGGTGGATCACAGACGCATCGATTGACGAGGTGCATGAGCCCATATGGACTTCACCCTGAGCCCTCCAGCCTAAGAAAATGCTCAGGCAGTGGTGTACTGGGTCTTCTGGATTCAGGAGGGGGAAAAAACACACAGACACAATGAATCGTCGACCCCCAGGAAAATATAGGAAAATATAGGAAGTGGAGGGGGAAGACAGAAACCCAGAAAGTATGGGAAACTATGCGGAAAATTTATATTTGTGTGTCCTGGGGCCCCTTCATGGATGGCCTTCCGGGCTTTGCGTCGTCGGCGCGCCCGGGGCCTGGGCGCGCCGACGATCCTCCCCCCCAGCCTCGCTTCCTCCCCAGCGTCGGCGCCCACCCTCTGCAGGCAGGCCTCGGCATCGCTCGGACGTGTGCGCTTTTCCTCGGAGGAGGAGGAGGAGGGGGAGGAGGAGGAGGAGGAGGGGGAGGAGGAGGAGGAGAGGAAGAGGAGGAGGAGGAGGAGGAGGTGGAGGAGGGGAGGAGGAGGAGGAGGTGGAGGAGCTGGAGGAGATGGAGGAGATGGAGAAGAAGATGGAGGAGGAGGAGGAGGAGGAGGAGGAGGAGGAGGAGGAGGATAAGGATTGCAGGAAAATGCGCGCGAAACCTAAAATTGAATTGCACGGGGAAGGGACGTCCGAGCGATGGCAACCTCGGGCGGCCCGGCTGGGACGCGGGGGCGGGCGGGCGGGCGGGTGGCAGGCGCGCGCGCGGCAGATCCGCGTCGGGCCGCCCGCGGCGGCGGCCCCCTCCGCGGGCGGCCAGGCTTGACCGCGTACTGTGGCCGGGACTATGGGCGGACCGAGGCATCAGTTCGAGGTCTGCTCGGGGAGGGTACCATCAGGATTGTCGTGTTGGTTCCTCGGTTTGGCCGGCGGAGAGTCTCATGCTCTTGAAGGGTGCGTTCTGTTTTAGGTCTTGCCATAGGCCCACTATGCAGTGAGTTGGCGACTGGGAAGTCCCTGATCGTTCCAGGTTTAACCCACGTGGTGTCATAAAGCAACGCCGCCCAAGTCGTCACGATACGAACTTGCCGTAACGGTCCGTTCTCTCCCCACGTCCGTCGTCGTCTACGGCCATTCCAGCCAGAAGCGGCCGCCCCTAGTCGGCTATCCCGCGCGCGGGCGCGCGGCAGGCGGCGCATTCCCCTGTTTCTTGCTGTGGGGATCTCTGCGCTCAACGCACCGGGGCTTCGGAGGCCGGCAAGCCTCGTCAGAGCTTTCGCGAAGGCCCCGTCGCGGTGAGCTCCAGCACCAGCATATCTTCTTTGCGAAGGCAGCACCCAGGTCGTTGATGGTCGCCGTTGGTGACCATACGGTGAAGGCGGCCCGCAGTCTCCAGCAAGTCCGGGTTGGTCAGGTCGGCCTTGTCTGTGGAGCAAGTGCCGAACAGCTGCAGAACTCGCGGCAATGCACGAGAGGGGGCCGTCGGGCCAGTGCGCCCAGAGTCACCAGGAAGAGTGGTTGGGTGGTCTGTGCTGCCTCACCAACCTTTGATGTTTGCTCGCGCATGCTTGTCGGAGCCTGTCGGCTGGGGCTCGATAGCGAGAACTTCACGCCTGAGGAGCGAAGCTCGGGAGCTGGCTAGCCTTTTGATCGAGATTCCGCTCGAATGGTCCCGTGTTTCTCACATGACCTGTCTGGGGGGGGCCGCCGTTCGTGCTCGCCTTCCATGCCTGCCGGGTCCCCTCCTCCCGGTTCGCGGCGCAGCACGGCGCCGCGCCTCCCCGCCCCGCGCCGAGGTCATGAGAAAAGGCGACGACGATGAGGCCGCTGGGGGATGCCAGCTACAGTAGATACATCCTTGTCCTCCTCCTCCACCTCCTCCTCCTCCTCTTCCTCTTCCTCCTCCCTCTCCTCCTCCTCCTCCTCCTCCTCCTCCTCCTCCTCCTCCTCGTCCTCGTCCTCGTCCTCCTCCTCCGTTTATTCGTCGAACGGTCGGTTTGTCCCCTTTCCTACTGCCTTGCCTGTTTCTCGCTCAGCCTGTCCGCTGCCTATTTGGACCGAGGGCTCGGGAGACTGCAGCGCCCCCGTGCCCGCATTATTCGCGTTTTCTGTTCTTAAGTGTACATTCCATTTTCAGAACATTCGCGTGTCCACATCACTTCTCATATCCTCATTTCGAATAGGTAGCGGAGCAAGTTCACCCATGCTCCCACCACGGCCGCCATGTGTCGCCTCGCGTCGACCGCCCTGGCTTCCACCCTTCGCCGCCTTCGAATTCGATCAATCGCCCTGAACATATCTGCGTTCGTGCAATTTTTCTTCGTCGTCCTGGCAGGAGACGTTGCTCTAGGGTCCGTCGGGGCTGTGCCAGCCCATCCTCCAGGACCCGCGACAGGGAACGTGTCCAACCAGTGCCTCATCAAGGACAACACCGCCAATATTTACAACGACCGCTATGCGACACATCCCGGGCATGCCCAGGGTGCGCCCGGGCAGTTCGCGGACCCCGAAGTGTCAGTGCCCGCGCCCGTGGGGGGAGCCCTGGGCGTTGGACAGTTGGTCGACGCAACGTTCACATATGGTGACAGAAAACTGGCCCCGAGCTTCCTGGGACTGCGTTTCGAGAGCCCGGGAAGTAGCAAACAGGAAACAGAAATCAGACGATTGGGTAGCTGGTGCCTAGCGGGGGCGCAGTGGGGAGCGCGGGAACTGCGTCATCAATCCTTCGAGATCATGCATTGGAGGGCATGGCGAATGGGGCGCCATCACTCCGAGGCACCACGCCTCGGGACCCGACCCGTCGAATTGCTCAGACCCGCCAGCCGGGCAGGGCGGGGTCCAGATGCGCACTCCTCTAGACCATCGCGCAACTGACGGATCTCAATGTAGTGACCGCACGATGCACAAAGGGCATCCCCGCGGGCAGTACAGTGACCCGACAGCCCACGCCCAAGACGCTGACGAGGAGGAACATCCAGGTCATGTATCCTCGGCGACTCATGGAACGCCGCTCGAGGATCTCCGACCCCCAGGACCTCCACGACATGCGGAGAGAGCTACACTCCGGATGGAAGGCCGTCGGAGTCCGCATGTGTGCCGTCGCAGGTTTCGTCGCCTGCATGAGCGCAGGCGGTGGCAGCGGCAACGCGCGCCACTTCCGCGCCTGGGGGCCCGAGCATCGAGCTCGCGCGCCATTCCAAAAATGAAAGCGAGAGGTGATGGTCTGGCCACTGGCGAACTCAGACCTCAACGAGTTTCGCCGGGCGGCCCGCGTCTCGTCGGGCGAGCACGCGAGCGCGCGGGCAGATGGCCGCCAGTTGCCCCGATCAGGGGAGGGTTCAGCAACGGCGACCCCGTACCACCGATGACCTTCCGCATGCGCAGCTCGGCCGTGCGACGGTGCCAGCTGGGCGCGGAGTGGCGCGCCCCGGCAGTGTCGGCTCTGAACTTCGACCGACTGCCACAGCATCGCATCAACGACCTAGCGCGGCTCGACATCCTCCGCAACCGGGCGCAGTAAGCTGGTAAATTCGTGATCGGCCACGAGGGGGTGAGCCTCTACTTCTTCTTGCTGCGCGCCGCTGGCGCGTCGAACGCTCAGCTCGCAACTCTCGCGCAACGCCGCAACATGGCCTGCCCCGCGAATGCTCGGCAACTCGCTCACATGACGGGCCAGCTGAGACGCTGTGGGCGCGTGAGGGAGGGGTCGCCAGGCAACCTCGCTGCGATGGACCACTCTGCTCATCGGCGCGCGCCCCTCACGGGCACGCCCGCGCAAGAGCAGAGATGGGGCGGCATGGGCCCGGACGCGCGGGGATCGGCGCCCCGCCCCCATCCGCCAGCCGAGGCCGCGTCTGGAGGCTGCGCCTCCGGCGCGGCGCCGCCAGCGCAGGGGGCATGCCCGGGGGCAGAGGTCGATTCAGGCGCCGCCGCCGACGCCGCCAGCTCATTCGGCGAGGAGATAGCCGCCGACGACCCCGGAATTTCGCGATATTCCCGTAGAATAGCGCGGCGCGCATCTCTACTGGGCGCACGAGCGCGCCGAAGCACGCTGGCGCAGCTTCGACCCCCGCGAGCCCTCAGTTCGAATGGGCCACCGACAGGAGGGGCATGGCAAAAGGCAAAAGCCGCCGCACTTTCTTAGCCGCCCTGTCCGAGAGCCACCTCGGGAAGACTTTCGCAAGCTTCGGGGTGGCAGAGGTGGGGGGGCCTGGATGTTCAGGACCGCGAGCGCGGCATCGGGCCGCCCGGGCAACCCCGCGAGCGCTGGCGGGGCGCGTCTCAAATGCCGCTGGTGAGACTCAGCAGAGCGCCTCGTCCGCGACTGCACCCGGCGGCGCCGGCGCGCTCTCTTCCCCGGCGCCGTCTCCCCAGCGCCACCATCGGCACCGTCGACCTTGCCGCTGGCCCATCCGGGGCAGCGCCAACCGCCGGGCCCGCCAGGGGCACACCTAGAACGAGACAGGGGCGCAACGCTAGCATTGCAAGATCGCGGATTCAACGTCGTCCGCACCGCCGACTTCGAGGTCGCAATCCAGACGTTGTCCGACAGCGCGTTCGCCGGCGCCGACCGCGGCGGGCTGCGGGCAACGCGCGACGCGAATAGGGGAGAGCCTCACCGCGTCCTCGGCCCCCTCCCTATTTAGTGCGCCCTGGCCAAAGATGCCAGCGCCAGGCCGGTGATCTTTGGCCGGCATGGCCAGCGGCGGCGACGACCCATGGCGCGGCGGATGATCGACGCCCGGGTGCTCCACCCCAGCCCGCGTCGGGCTTGCCGCAAGCCTCCGGGCCCAGAGACCAAGCGCAGCAGCGCTGCCTTCATGACGCGAGCCCCTGCGACTTTCGACTTACCTATTGGTCAGCAAATCCTATCGCGCAGCTGGGGGGCGCACTTAAAAAGGTGCGCTTCCAACGAGGCGCGACGGCAGGATCCCGTCCAACTGGCAGCCGCAAGCACCGCAAGCACGACGCCCAGGACCTCGCGCACGACCTCATGCACCACTCAGCTACAGGCACAGGCGAAGATACCGAACAACCGCAGGGGGCGCCGGGCGACTGCGTCGTCGGCACCAGCCTGACAGCCGAGCGCATACGCTAGAAAGCGAGGATAAAAAGAGGGCCACGTGCCCAACGCACGTCAGCAGGTCGCAGAGGGCCACTACGATGACTGCAGCACCGTCCGCACAGGTCTGGCCCCGTATCTGCTGGGCTCTCAAGCAATTGGCGAATCGGGTCAAACGCGCGGGCACGACGATGCCGACCTCCAGGACGGCGCCACCCTAGTCTCGCCCACCTGGTGGTTCCACGGCTCGTCGGCCCCGGCATCCGCGACCAAGCCGCGCCCCCTTGAATTCTCGACCAAGCCGTGCCCTTTTCAAATTCACGAACGCGTCAGATCGCCATGAATCTGGCGAGTGCTCGAACGACCTAGCCAGCCAATTTCGGCAACATCCTTCCCCACCTACATTACCTGCGACCGCGGCACTGACAGCATGGAGACATGTGGTGGTGGTGGTGGTGGGGGGGGGGCGCAGACCAGCAGACTCGCTGTCGGCCACCGCCTCCAGGTGGGCACCAACTTCGCCTTGGTGACTGGCTGCGACCTCAACGACGAGAACCAGCAGAATGCCGCGGAGCGATACATCCCACAAAATCGGCCCCGAGTAGCCATCATGGCTTCCGCCTGCCTGCCCCTCGGTCGATGAGCTATGTCTAACTGCAGACGGAACCGCAGCACCTGCCAGCATTTCTAGGAGGGCGTGGGCCCCCATGGCCGATTATGCGGCTAGCTGGCGCAGTTGCAGATCGTGATGGGCGGCTACTTCATCAACGAGCAGCCCGAACCATCGCGGCTGTGCGCGGGGCCGCCCTGGCCAGAGGTGCTGGCAGCGCCGCGCGTGGACGAGGTCGTCTTAGACCAGCGTCAGCTTGGGCCTAGGGGTCGCCACCAGTCAAGCACGCGCACGTCCACGTCGAGGGCCGCGACGGCCTCGGCGCCAAGATTCGGCCATGGAAGATGACCGCGCTACTCGCCCACGGAATAGTGGACTGACGTCGCCGTCTGCGGCGTTCACAACTCGCGGCGTTCGAGCAGCAGCCTTCCCAGCGGCGGCTACCAGTGCCACTGCGGGAGAGACGCGAAGTTGCAGCCGAGCGCGCGCGCCGCGCATGCAAGGCGCGCGATCGCAACGCGCGGGCGGGCTCGCTCATGCGCTCCAGGGATCCAGCAGCGCGCCGCTTCCTTCACAGCGCGCCGATCCACTGGGAGCGCCCGGGCTTCCAAGAGGACAAGGAACGCGATCGCCCCGCGCACAGTCCCGAGTTTAGCAAGCGCAGGTTCGCGGGCCCCCGCGCCGGGCCGCGACCGCGCGCCAGCCTACGCCCGCGAGGGCCGGCGCGAGCTCAGCCACCCTGCTTCGCAGACCCTGGAGCAGCAGCTGAGGCTGCCCTACCGCCGCGCCCGCAGGAGGATCAGAAGCCATTTCGTCTTCCAGCGCTGGCGCTCAGGGCGCCGGTTCGAACGATGGCGTCGCTCGACCCAGGGAACGAGCTAGTCCAGCATCGAGCCCAGGGCCTCGTCGAGCAGCGCCGCGAGTTGCCGACGCAGCTGCAGGCAGCCCAACGCGGTCAGACTGGACCCGCTCCGACGCCACTATTTCTTTACGAGCATGTCGCGGTGACTCGTGTGAAACGCGCGCGCTGGAGCTTCGCAAGCTCCGCCCGCTGTCGCGGCGAGCCGCCATGGGGGAGATGGCGCGAGCACTACTGGCAGCCAAAATACCACAGGACAACTTCAATTTCATCCCCGCGGCGGTGAACAACT